AAACAAGTGGTACGAAAATTGTTTTGTTTTAATTTTTGGGAGAAAATGGATTTCAAACTTTTCCGTAGTTCCAGATATTGTGACATTATTTTAGTTTAATAATTAAAAATTTTTTTTTTGTTTTGGTTTAACATTGTTAGGGGTTGAAATCATCTGAAAGTTTTAAATTTGTTTGCAATTTCCTTGATCTTGAGCGGTGGAGAAGAGCTCCGAAAAATATGTCTGACGATTAGGAAAATTTTTCTGCTTAAAATTAATTTTATACCAAAAACCAAAAAATTTTTATCAAAATATTGGAATACGGGTAATGATCAATATTTGATTTTTGATGCTGTTGCTACGATTGTCTTATCTACGCTTGGTTGATGTGGTTCAAGTAGGCCGGGAAAAGTACAGTATTCTCTGGGTCGCACTATACAGTGGATTGAGGTAATAGTACACAAATAGCAAATAATACTTTCAAATTGCAATTTTTGAAGTTAGCCGCTTTTCATACAAGTCGTTTTTGTGAAAAAATTTTCCACTTAAAAAATCGAAATTATTGTTAAAATATTTTTTCGATCATTACCTGACAAATTATTCCAAGAAGGTCGTGGGAAATTTTTAAGTCACCGAGTCTGAGCACTTCGAGAAAAACGCGTTTAAAATTTTGAAAGCCGATTCAATTAAATTGAAAAGATTCTTATCAATACGATCATATTTTCGGAATTATTTGTAAGTTTCGAGGCATAGTTTCAAATATATTCAATTTCGATATACAAACTATTCGATTTTTCGATATTCTCAAGTATATGTAATCACTTAAAAGAAAAGTCTAGTATTAGGTCTCATCTCACATCAAGCGAGGTCTATAGTCAATGGTAAAAAGTGAGAATGTTAAGTTCAAATTGTGAACTCTTAAAATATTAATTGAAAGCACGTTTTGGGCGTGGACTTTGAAGAGGGAAGGAATCGAGGCTTGAAAAAACAAAGATTTTGAGCTAAAAGCTCAAAAAAGCTAAGGGCCTTACAACAGAATTCAAAGAAAAATTTTACAAATAAGGTGACAAAAGGAAAAGTTTAAATTGTTGCTAAAATCATTAAATTAAAATACGCGTTTAAAATAAAACTGAAAAATTTTATAAAGGCGCGTGTGACGCAAAGTGTGTTATTTCAAAATTAAATTAATATTTTGGAAATTTAATATGACCCTGCACAGTTGCCCATAAGGACACATCACTCCCGGTCGTTGACCTGTCTTTCTAATATTCACACAAATAAAGACGTCTACAACGCGGTTATCAATATTTCTGCAACAAAATATTTCAGAGTGTCTCTTTGTGTCTATGTGAGTGTGTACGCGTCGACTATCACCCATCGAACGGAGGCTTGCGTGTGCAAATATCGATTTTTAGTTTGGAAAATTCAAGCATACTTTAAAATAATTAGAACAGTTATACCACAATCACACACACACACACAATCACCCGTACGAACACTCGCTAACTTTATGGCCAACATACGAGTGTTTGAAGAAATCTAAGCAATCACTTAAACTAGTTTGATTTCACTTTCATTAGCTTAATTTAATTTTAGACTAGCGCATAGTTTTCTCAACTGAACACGCCGCGCACACTTCGGTAGCTTAAAATTCAAACAGGCCACACAGACACACTGGCACACCCGGCTGTCCGTCCTTCAGCGAACTCTATTTGATTCGTTGGCGTTGTCGGCACAAAATCAATTTCTTGCCTTGTTGGGCGCTCAAGTGCTTTAATGGCCATTAAAGTATAAAAGACAAGATATAACACAATTTAACGACGCCGCCCAACAAAAGCGAGCTCAGCAACCACATGGACACGCTGTTATGTGAAAAGTTGAAGAACCCTCAAAGTTGTTTATGCTTCCGCTTGGGTTTGCGCGCTTTCTTCTTCCAACTGTCTTTGGCGTGTTCTCGCTAGTTGCGCTGTTCCCGTTCCTTCCTCATTGCATGCTCAACAATTTTTCGACCGGGCATGTGGTGGAACTGGCGCAACTGCGATTAAATTCTTTGTTTTCTGCTGTCATTTGCGTGTGTGGGTGGTCGTTTGTGGCGTAAACCGTTACTGCAGATAAGAGTGGCTTAAAGTATGCTGACACGCAGCAACTATATGTGGCATGCACCTGCTTTTGCTTTCTTCGCCGCTAAGAATGAAAAAGTTCGAGCATAAATTTAAGGAAGAGATAGCTATTTTAATTCGATTGGACTTTACAACTACTTTAAGGCACTTCACCTTCTTCTCTTGCATAGTTTGAAATTCATTTTGCCTTTTTATCTCGTGGCCTCAAAAAGCTTTAGTTCAAAGTTTACGACTTAAGAAAAAATTAGGTGTGAGACAGTTGACGATGTTGCGCCATCAAAGCCCGATAATTCTTCAGTAAAGCAGTTTTTCATAAAAGTTTATAATTCTTCAGAGAAAATAGGTTTTCCTTTGCGTTAAAATCTGTTCGGTTTACTTCATTACTGCGCGATTATCCTCCGCCTTAATTGCATTCAGCACTTCGTAATCGAAATTAGGTCATATTAAACAATATTTTTTACCATACATCTGCATGTGAATTGTAGGCTTGTTTCTTGAATCCATATCGACTAGCATTAAGAATATATAAAGTACTATATTTAGACAGAAACATATGCCAAGCTCAAAGTTGCCTCCCAACCAGAGATTGTACTTCTGCGGTTATTGCTTTGTCACTTCTGTTTATTTATGTGCTCCCGTTATATTAGCATTGGCTAACTGAGTCGATGGCGCAGTTGCTGCGGCGACATTACTAACGTGTTTTTATTCCTTGAAATTTGCGGATTATTGCATTTTGCCATTCCACCATTAACTGTCTTCGTTGTGGTTTCAACGACGACTGTATTAATTTTAAATTTATGTGGCGGATATTGCCGTCAACTAAACCACGGCGTGTTTTAAAATAATATATATTTTAAATCATAAAAGGAGTGGCTAGTTACTGCAATAAACTAACACTCGGAGTTTGCCTTTAAAAGAACAAAGAAGCCCAGTATACTGCCTGCAGCACTTTGTAACCATTACGCAGATAATCAAGTAAGCGGCGGGAACTGATCTCAAGGAGTCTAGTTAGAAGTCCCCTTATATAGTTGGCTCTTCTACCGAAAATAACCCAGGAGAGTCTTTATTGTTCCCTATTGCTTCTATAAACTGGATGTCCACAGACAGATTGAAATTGCATACATATGTAACGGGGTTTTCAATAAAAACGCTTCAAAGGGATCGGGATATCAATGAAATTCTTTATTCTTGTGAAAATACATTCGCTGTCAATTGAAACATAAATCGGCCGATACTGCTGCTCGTTAGATATTCGTTCGAAATTCATCAATCGTCGCTGGCTTGTTGGCATAGACCATGGATTTAGCGTAGCCCCACAGGAAATAGTCTAAAGGCGTGAAATCCCACACGAATCCCACGATTTTGACATTCGCTGTGTTTCTTGTGGCGCCATTCTGTTGAACCACATATTGTCCAAGCTCACGTCATTCAATTCGGACGAAATGTATTCGGTAATCATTGAGTGTTTAGCGACTCCCAATCACAGTAACGTGCCGGTCTTGATCATCATCAGTTTGGCTCAATGACGCCGCCGGACCACAATCCACACCAAATCAAAATTTTTTTGGGATGCAATGGTGTAGTATGTATGGATTGTTTTTGACAATAATGCAATCTTTGCTTATTGACGAACCATTCAGCCAGAAATGAAGCTCATTGCTGAAGATGAATTTTCGATGAAAATCTGGATCAGCTGACTTCAAAGAGACACATTTTTAAGTTGTTGCTCAACACAATTCACAAAGATTCTGGTGGTCAAGCAGCCTCAGTTCTTGCGTCAATTTGATCTTGTAAGAATGTAGGCCAAGATATTTTCGCAAAATTTGCCACAACAACGTCACAGAGATACCCAACGCTGGAGAGACTGTGAGACGTGTGAGAGACTGATTTGGGTCTTCCTCAATTAATGCGGCAGCAATATTCTCGACACTACGAGGCACTTCTTTGTCTCACTGGCACGGGAACATTTTGCATTATGCCTTTAGATTTGAAATTTTCAACTAAACTCAAGATTGTTGATATGACAGGACGATTATGACGAATTTCGGTAATTTCAACTCGTTCTTGGATCGTATATTTTTCCATGGTGAAATGGCAAACCCTTCTGAATGCTAAAGAGCGGGAAAAATATGGCATATATGCATATCTTTACCTTTAGGCTAAAATCTGTTCCATCTTATAAGAAGAACGGCTAGAACTTGCTGTATATATATGAACATATAATGTTAAAATATCCAAAAAAAAAAAAAAAAAAATCTAAGATGTCTACTAGCTGAAGATTTACAAACAGATGTTGTTGGTTTCCTAACAATGATGCTTATGCCGTCTCCTGTGCAAAACTTTTCGGTGGTATGATGGGTTTCGGTTAGTCTCACATAAAGATAGAAGTCAAGGAATTCCATGACCTTTTTTTGTAAAACTAGTAATATAGTTTCAAGTGATTTCCCCAATATCCAACAGACTTGAATATGAATGCGCTAAATACTAATATATTTATTCAACTATTTCTCAAAGTATTAAGATAGTTTTTTTTAGAATTTTTATCAAATTTGTATATGAACTATTCAATTATTATTTAAATTAACTCATTTAAAATCAGCGCCACGCATAAACAAAATTTCTTCGAGATACTTGATAGATATTAATATTTGATTTTAAAATACTTGAGCATAATTAGGTAATATTTGACCGAACTCAAATGTGAAGAAGGTCAAGTAAACTTCAAATTCCTATTTTATACATTTAAATATATACATATATACTCACATTGATGTTTGTGTGGAAATTATGTACGTTATCAAGTAAAAATGTCTGACTTTATCCAATTTGTGGCAATTTTCTTATTAACATAACTTTTCATATCTTCGCTCCCACTCACACTTGGCACTAACACACACACAGACGCGTGCACATCACCAAGGAGACGCTCAAGTGCTTGGATGGCGATTACGAAGTGGAGGAGGGCAAAGGTGCCGAGCGCAACACATATCTGAAGGATCATCAAATCGAAACTTATCTCATAGTGCCAGGTGATATTTATCGACCGGTAAGTGTAGCTGTGTATGTGTGTGTAAATATATGCAAGAATGTACCAATAAATAAAGAAGTAGTTCTTTGACGATTGCGAAGCTGTGAACCCGACCGCCAGCCACTCGACACGAGGCACGTGTGGCGCACGCATGACCGCACGCACATACAGGTGTACGTGCGTGTTTCCAGCGGCGCAACCGAATACTCTTATATGCTAAATAAGTTATATATTTACATGATTGTTCGCACACAAACACACAGATGCAGGATTGCATACGCGCGGGGTGAGTGGGTTATGCAAAGCGTCAAAAGGCAATGAAATAAACGCCTAAAATAACAACGGAAATAGAATAAGAAATACGCTGCGAGCGCAATAACACATACGCACACATATACATACATACAAATACAATATATGGTATATATGCATAGAGAAGCACCTGTAACACACGGGAACTTTTTTTATAACAAAAAACATTATAAATATTTGCTATTTTCATGTTGGCGTGTTGGCGTGTTGGTGTGCATGTGTATGTGTGTTTGCAGCATAAGAAATCACGCAACCGACTGCAGGTGAATGGCAATATTTCGAAGGAGCTGCGAATGATGGGACATGCCAGCGCACAGAAGAATACCTCCAAGTGAGTACACGCACACCTAGACACATACTTATTTTTAGATACGCGATAGGTATGATTTGGCATTCGAGCAGCTCCATTTTATGCATCACCCTTTGTAAGCTGCCCTATTTCACCCATTTTTCTGTGAATTCTCATTTGTTGAATTCGGAAATTGGTCCAAGTAATGATTGTGTGAAAATCTTAACAGATTTGGCTTCGGCGACAGTGCGGAGGGTGCCAAGGATCCGGAGGACGAGGTGAACGAGTATCTGATGCGTGCGATTGATGCGCGTAGCATTGACCATTTGCGTGCGGAGCATTGCCAGTCGGTGTTGTTGTCCTTCAAGGACGAGGCGCTGGAAAAGAAGGTAATACAACAATAAAATGCTTGTGACTACAAAATGTGTGCTAAATTGAATTATATTTATTTATGGTACGAACTTTTATGTTATTTTTTGCACTGTCTGCTTTATTTTCAGTATGGTTCGGAACCGGATCGCATGCTGGGTGTATATTTCTACTGTAGCTTCATGGTGCTGGTTGCCACGACATTTATAAGATTTTCTATATTTAAACCGTAAGTAGCAGTAAAGTGTACGGTGATATTGACAATTATATTTTTTTGATGGCAGGGTTTCGGTACTTTTAAAGGAAAAACTTTTTCCTTTCGACTATAATTAATACAATGAAAATAAACTTCTAGGATGCTAGTTCTTAAAATGCTCTTTGAACATCATGAAAGTAATGACGGCAAGACTGTTAGTTTAAGTTAAATGGCTGATGTACAGAGATCGCATGTGGAGTCATGTGTTCGAACTAATGAATCAGCAAAACGCTTAGTAGTCAATACAAATTTGCTCAGGCGCTTTAGTTCCAGTTCGGGCGGATATCTGCAGGTATGCGCTTTTCACTCATCTTCTTCCATACAGCTTCTGCAGATGAGGTTTGGTAAGATTCCCGACATTACGGCATGAATACCAGGCAATGGCCTGGTAAAAATCCCACAATCAGAGAGAGACAAGCCATACTGAGAGCTAAAACATTACTAGGGCTAGATCTTGGGCTAAAACGATTCTGCGACAACGCTGGCCAAGCTTCTGCGAAGCCCAGCTATCTATTAGTAGAACAGTAGTAGAATGAAGAGCATCGACCCGCTCCCGTTCTAACGATAGCTGTTCAATGGTGCCTTTCCTTGCTAGCTCATCTGCTTTACAATTTCCTGCGATTCCGCTAAGTACTGGCTACCGAGGTTAGGCACTCCTTGACCACCCCGGAACGCAGTTTTGATGAGTTCAAGGCTGGTATCGCCGATCTGCTATCTGAAGCTCCGCGGCATTAAATCTGCTGTTAACTTAATGATTGGAAGCTCGACTTGGAAAGCACTGCATTCGTTTGGAAGTCTGAAGCTGGAGTTAAAAGAGACCTTCTGATAATAAACCTCTCCACGAACCGTCCCTCCCAGCTTTGACCCATCCGTAAAGAAGGCCCCCAACGGCTTTTTCCCATCCACAATTCTCTTGCCGTTATTTGGGCAGAGAAGTAGCCGCCAGAGTTCGGTTTGGAGACTCCCTGTATGAGGATTTCCTAGTGTTTAGCCACGTGTTCCTTTACAAACCCCGATTCTATTAGCCTGATAGCAAGTTTCGTAACCATACACCTTCCGATGATGTCTACGAGCACTATGTACAAGATAAAGTTAAGTGCCATGGTTGGAGTGGACACTAGTGTACCACACATACTAATGAGAAGCGTCGCCGGTTGAACGCTTTCAAGTTTCTTTGCAAATGTGGTCTTTTCTACAGTTCGCCCCCACATGAGGATTCCAGAGAACACAATGGGCTTGACTATGGTGTTGCAAAGGACCACTTTCGGTTAGACTCACCTTTTGCCATTGGCTTTTCTACAGCAGTATAAGACATTCGATGGCTTTTTTGCTCTCCCTTTTCGCTATTCGCCTTCCATGAAAGCTTCCTATCCAGGATGAGCCTTAAATATATCACTATATCCGCCGGTTGCAGACGGATGTTTCCCATTTGCGGCCGCGGTGGCATTAGTATCTTAAAACCATTTTTTAATTTAAATTAGGGCAATTTTTCAGTGCAGAAATATTGAAGCCGAAAACAGAGCTTCTCCCAAAGCGTCTTGAGGAAAAAACACTTTGCGGTATTCACCATTACTCCGCTGAAAATTATCCGAAAGTAAAAAAAAAAAAAAAAAAAAAAAAAATTTGTCAAACTGTTATTAAATCCTCCACTCATCATCCCCTGATAATTTTTTCTTTCATTGAAAACTACAATTATCCACAAAAAAATTCCGAAATTTTATGGGTAGAAAACACCCTCAACGTAAAAACACAAAAAGTAAAAAACGATGGGGAGAGGTTTTATAAGTCAAAAATGCGGACAAAGATTGAAATCAATCGGTTGAGTAGTTTCGAAATGAAAGTGAAAATGGAGTTTCAAAAAGTAGTTTTGAGAAACTAAGTCTAAAATTTATAAACGAAAAAGGTGACAAAAACAAAAAAAATACCCTATATTGTCAAAAGTTTGCTCGGTAATGTACAAAAGGTCCGAATAAAACTACTCAATCCATATTTAAGAAATAAATTTCTTTTTAAGGTGCTAATTTTAAAAGTTTCTCGTATCCCACTTATTGATCCTTAAAATATTCAATTTTCATTTCAGGAATTTACTCACAGTCATCACCTCATGTGCGACAATTGTTATTGTGCTGCTGATTTCGCTGCTTGTCGCCGCACATGTGATCAATATGAAAGTACGTATACGCCATGGCAGCGAAGTGACATTAAAAATTCATATTCATATAGCACAATACAAACAGACACTCGCACCTTGATGAGCGCGCTTGCAATATCAAATGTTGTTAGATTAAAGTACACTGCTAAGTTCTGCATGTAAATATATATATACATAGCTACATGTGAGCATAGCTTCATCGGTGTTTTGTCCACACCATTAGTGCGCAAATCGAATTACATTGGAAATACCGTTTTATTCAATTTGATACCAGCAATATAGGCTTTGCCTCTGTACCGTTATATGCTAAAACAATATCATACCCACGCTCACACCCACATATATTTACATATGCAAATAAAATATTAATGTGCGTTTGTTGAAGCCGTGACAATTCTCAGTTGTTGTATTTACTTGCAGCTACCGATTGGTGTCAAGAGATTCTCTTCACGTATTCATAGCGATCGCTTGTTGGCGCAGTGTTTTGCCTTTTTAACAGTTACGCTGATTGCCCTCACAACCATATTGACAATGGTGAGTAGCAAATATGTGTGCATTGATTGTCGTCTCTGTGTGTGTTTTCCCCAATGGGATGTTTGATTTTAAATGCATGTTTTTATTGTTGTAAATGTTTTTAGCGTACTCGCTGTTTTTGTTGCTGTTACTTGTTTTCAATAATTTATAAAATTGTTGGAGGAAAACTCTTTGAAGGCATGACTTGAAAATAAATACCTTTCGTTAGTTTATTTCAATTAAATATCGGCTGGAATTTTATGTCGGCAGAGGAGAAATGTGTAGTTGTGAGATTAATTTAAGTTTGGCAAAATATAAACCTTCAGTTTTTTCAAAAAGTATTGGTGTCAAAAATCTTTGTTCGATTCTAGCAACTTTGAGTCCCAAATAAAATTGAAAAGAACTTCGGTTAGTTTTTAAGAAAACTTTTTGGTAATCAGAAATAAATGTTTTTATTTTCAAAAAAACAAAAAAAAAAAACAACAATTAGTAGTTTAATACATTGTGACAAAAAAATACCCCCAAAAACGCAAAATATTAAATTATTCATCAGTGTTTATTTTGTCGCCTTCAAAGTAATACCCCAGATTAATAAAATTATGCCAACGATTTTTCCAGTCTTCGAAATACTTTTTATAAACACTTTTTTTTGGTAGGCCTTCAGCTCCTTCAGTGAATTTTTTTTATCTCTTCGATCGACTGAAAACAGGTTCCACGGATAGGCAATTTCAGTTCCGCAATGATTCCGCATACGAAGTTGTGAGCAAAAGTTAAGCGAGAGATAACGATCGATCTATTTTAGAGAGAAAAATAAAATTACTTGCATAATTTGACCAAATTATTAATTCAAAATAACTTAAGGAATGTTAATTAGAAATATTACGGAAGAATTAATAATGACCTACTTTTCTATTGTTCCAATGCTAGTAATAAGTGAAATAACAACATGTGCAGTGTTTTCTGCATTTTCTGAGATCATGTTTCTAAGGGGTGTGTATATTTTTTAATATCATCGGAGAGTACTGACTTCTTCGAAGAAAAAGCTTGCTGATTTAAAAAAAAAAAAAAAAAAAAGGTTAACTTCGGCTGTACCGAAGCTAATATACCCTTCACCGGTGCATTTTTTTTTTTTTTTGATGATATTTAGCCAAATTTGCTCATTTATGAACTTGGTTTTGATGGGTCGGTTTGTATGGCAATCCGACCTTAATTCTTTTGAAGATTAAAGCGAATCTTGGGCAATAATCAATGCTAAATTTCAAGAAATGTTTCTTGTCACATAAGAACTTAATTTTGATTTTCAATTTGTATGGCAGGTTTTGTTATCCGRTYTGMAAAATTTCTTCAACTATTGTAGCGTTGCCTTAGAGAATAAACACCTCAAATTTGCAGAATATATCTCGTTAACTGGAAAAGTCTCCATTGCAAACATTTTACTCCGACCGTTCCGTTTGTATGGAAGCTATATGTTATAGTTAACCGATCTGAACAATTTTTTCAGAGATTACATTGTTGTCTTAGAAAATAATCTATACCAAATTTCGCGAATATATCTTATTAAATACAAAAGTTTTCCATACCAGCACTAGATTCCGATCGTTCAGTTTGTATGGCAGCTATATGTTATAATTAACCGATAGTGAAGATACATTGTCAAATTGGAAAGTTTTCCATACAAGAACTTGATTCCGATCGTTCAGTTTATATGGCAGCTATATGTTATAGTGGTCCGATATCGGCAGTTAAGACAAATGAGTAGCTTCTTGAAGAGAAAATGGTGTTTCAAAACGATATCTTAAAAACTGAGGGACTGGTTCGTAAATATACAGACAGACGGACAGACGGACATGGCTAAATCGAATCAGCTCAACATACTGATCATTTAGATATATATACTTTATAGGGTCTCCGATGCTTTCTTCTGGGTGTTACAAACTTCGGGGTATAAAAATCTGAAGTTACGACGTGAAAGTTTTTGATTGAAAAGTCGGAGTTTTTCTATTTTTCTTCGAAATACGGTTTCCTTCTTATTACTAAAAAAATACAGTCTGTTACAAAAAAATCTGTGAATAAAAATATTTTCGTAAATGTTAAAACTGTGTTATTTGAAAATTTCAAATAAATTTTGAGGTTTTTTGAAAAAGTCTATTAACCAAAGTTATAGGCATTGCTATTACCCATAACATTGCCTTATAACTTTTTTCCATATGGTTCATAGTTTTACCAGAAATCAAGATAAGAAATTTTCATTCTTTAAAAATTCATCTAAGTACCCGTCCTTTCTTTTACCAAACTCATATCGGCCTTACATTATATTATCCTTCATTCCCGATGAGTTTTTTTTTTTTGTTTTCAAAAAGTTCTATGTTTGGTGCCATCTTAATTCCTATGTACATATGTATGTTGCTCATGTCGTTAAAGTAAATAATCACCTTAAGAAATCTCTTAAGTTGAGACAGTGACAGCTTTGTACCTAAAATCGTTGACTGACTTTAATATAATACTTTTGCAATTGAAGTCTGGAGGCTTACTGACGGATGAAAGCAAAAGTCTTAGCCGACTTGAGATGTGTCTTCAACACATGACATTTGGCAGACGAGCGTGTGCTTAAGTAAATAAGTGTAAGAGCATGCGTTCATATACTTATATAGATAGTATACCGTTATCTACATAGAAAGATAAAAAGTAAGCTGTGCGAGATGTATCACGGCGGTGCTGGCGAGCATTTTCTCACATATTTATGCATTTATGCAAAACAAATGCGAAACTTCCGAAATGGCGCTTTTGGATTTGTGTGAAAATTTACATTACCATTTCAATTTGAGGGCATCAATTTGTAACACTTCAATTTTTACAAACGCACACACAAATACATGGATGTGAATAATTTGTATAGCGACGAAACCTTTTGTGTGTGTGAATAATTTTGCGGCGAAAGAAAAGTTTACATCAAAAGTCTCTATATATTTAAATATATAGTGATGCTTATCACTCTTTAGTCTAATCACGTATATCAACTCGGTGGTGTGTGCAAGAATCATACGTGCTAAAAATATATTTTCGGTAAAAGTTGCCGAAAAAATTATTTATTTTTTTAATGAATCAAAACTTTGTGGCTTTTTTATCCTAAATGGTAAATAATAACATAATTTTACTACTAAAAATTCTCATTAAGTTCACTATTGACTCGTTGATGTAGATATATGAAGCATAGAATCTCACTTTTCCAATTCGATATGGTATAAAACAATGTGATTGGTAGCACTAGAGATATACGACTGCAACAACATCTACAAAATACGAAAAAAAAAACTTTTCCGACTTCCAATATCCATATATATTTTTGATGTGTGTATGTTTAGGCATATTGTGTAAACAAATATACTATATAAACAAGTGAAAACAAAAAAGAAACAACAAAGTCTGTGTTAAAATTTTATGTAGCGGCAAAAGTTTTTCCATTAAGGTTTCACCGCCGCAACAAACACTTTGCCCTTGGCTTTATGCCCACATAACTCCAGCAAATCACGCAACACACATGCAGAGCGTTGTGCGCGCCCAAAAGTGTGCTAAAGTATGTGTGGAAACCTTCGAGCGGTAGACACATTGTTGTCCAACTTTTCTTCTCACATTCCACTTGATTTGTAAGCAAAACGTTGTTACACAAATGACTAACGGTGTTTTTCATTTTGGCCTTGCTACTTTTCGTTTACAGTTGCAATTTGATGCTTCTCTTGCTGTTTTTGTTGCCACACATTAACCTTTCGATGTTGGCGTCTTAATCTCAGACAAGCAAAAATATCTCATCAGTCATTAGGACCGTTGACCAACAGCTGTGCGACTGACGAATGCGAGAAATCGGGAAATAGAAAGTGTGACTTCTACATTTTAGACTTTTTAAGGCTTGACTATTGATTCGCCAAGAAGGCATTTGTTATATTTGAATATTTATGTCAAATAAGTGTTTCGAGTACACTCTTTACGGAAATAAATCAAAAAGAAAAGAATTTGAGAAAAAGTRTTCTTCAAGTTGTAATGACAATGTRCTCTGKCTTTCCTACATGGTCTTTACTCATTATACTKAGAAAAACTTCAGTCCACAAACGTACACTTAATAGCACATTTTAAAAGGAGAAGCCATCTAGAGCAGGGAGCAACACTTGTGTCAAAGCAAATGACCACACTTGTTGTTGTTTGTTGTTGCCTCGCGAATGTCATTTCTAATAGTCTTAGAGCAAATTACCTACATTTATATGACACAAWTCTTTTCCGTTATTTTTCTTCGCTGAAACTTCTTTGCGCTGCGTCTTTGTTCTTTATATGATCTGCAGTCATACTTGGATGATTGTGAAAAAATTTCTTAAAATTTCTTTCTTCTAAAAAAGTAAAAAAAAAAAAAAATGACATTCCATCAGCCGGTCGAAAATGGTTGAGAGCTCGTAGTCCATCAACCCAATTTTCAAATAAGTGCGTGTGTCATGTCGAAATATCATATGAGACGAAGSGCCCTAAAAAATTTAAAAAAACTTTGCCCATAACTAAAAGGCACATTTTTCTTTATACTTTGATTTGTAATAGAACTGAACAGAAAATCATTGCATTAGCCGCATACTAGGGYTGAATTTTATATTTCGAGKTTAGASARCAAAAACAAATATTAATCAAAGAAAATCGCTTTATTGTTTTCCTAATTATTCAAACGTTTACCTCTTCGTTTATTGTTTTGTKCGAGAATATAAAGAAGATGCCAAGTCAAGTCTTCACGGTGAATTACTCATCCAATCGATGTYTTATACTATATGTTCAAAAATGCAGTTGAATCAGGTGATGTGTGYGAGATGACATTGTCGTGGTGAAGAGGGCGCTGTTTTTCCTGATTTCTCACTTTTCCCCACTCAAAGTTTTTCGTTCTGCGTTGTTCTAGTGGTATGGTTACAACATGTAAAGTTTTAACAACAAAAACGGGCAACCATTTGCTAGGAAGTGCTTCGTCCTCGAACAATATTTGTTAGATTCAGCTCATCTTGAAACACTTATACAGTCCACTGCTGTTTACTTTCGAGCTTATACGCGCAAATCGACGATTCGTCAACTGTCACGATGTCATAGACGTGTTTAGAAGTACTGCTATCTTATTGTTTTACCATCTCTCTCGACTAATTATAACCAGACTTCTTCGAAGCGCTTGACAAATTGCGTGAAATTCAACGTGTACAAATTGCTTAACAGTGAGGTTTTCAAATAAAACTGAATGTATGCTGGCATTAGTGGGGCCTCAGCATCATGATAAGTCCCATGGCGATCTTGCAATATCAGTTTGCGCACAGCAACAATAGTTTCCGGAGCGACAACTAATTTAGGATGACCTTCATGACATTCGTCATGGAGTGAACTACGATCTTTATGGCGTTCATCACACCATCAATAAACATTGGTACTTGTTGGAGCTTTATTGCTAAAAATTGAATTAAGTTCATCGATGCACTGCTGCAGAATTAATCCTCGTCGAAAGTCTTGAAAAATATCGAGCGAAAATGTTACCGTTTTAATTCCATATTTTGGCTGAGGTGAATATTTCAAGTTACTGTAAACAACAAAAGTACCACCACTATATCAAAACTTTGTGAATTGCCAGACTAAAACACTAGTGCTGCCAAATCCCGAAATATAAAAGGCAACCTACGTATATTAAACCTCCAAAAGCAAAAAAAAAAGCGAGTGAAAAATTCTTTTGAAGTTAAAACCACAACACGAGGCTTTTTTGCGAAAGCCAATCAATTCTCGACCCTGATTCTCCAACCTAATCATTCTTTGTTAGAAATATTAATATTCACAATTTGCATTTATCTCGACCATTTTTCTTAAAATATATTCTTCTTAAAGATTTTACACGTCACCTATTAAATGCCTTCATAAGGACTTGCGCTATTTCATTTGTGGCACAGAGCTGCTAATAGCGGCACTAATGCTGGCAAGTGTGGGGAAAAAGCGATAGTGACAGGCAAATTGGTCGCCTAACGGTATTGCATGTCTCACCACGTACAAAGTGTCAACGAAGCCCATTACTGTGTGCTTTTAACAGCATTTGCGCCAATTTTTCGCTTTTTACTACAAACATTTAGCCATAAAAGCTTTCGTTTACAACAACGAAGAAAGCCTGTTTTGCTCCTCTGGCTTAAGAGTGTGCCATCTTATCTATTATCGCCGTTTTATGGAGTTTTAATGAAAGTTCTATTATGCCAACTTCTTGGCTGCAGCCTCGATGTTATATCCCATTTTGCTGTTGTTGTTATAGTTTTTTACTGTTATGGGTTTTCTTGATAAAGCCACTGTTTGCAAGTAATTTCCGCATGGGATTTATAAAAACTTTGTTTTCGCTGAGTGTGAGACTCATTGCAGTCATCCGCCCTTCGTAATTGCTAAACACACGATTAACTAAATGTGTCACAAGGCATTTCTCGTAGCGCCTTATGATCATAGTTGTGGTCAGATGGGTTACTTTTTTCTTTAAGAGGAAGCCTCACACCTCGATCGGACTTTACTTTAAAGTCTACTCCTTATGTCGGGAGTAACATCAAAGAAAGCGGAAATTCAAACAAACTGTTAAATGTTACCATATATTGGGTAGTCGAAAAAGCCTTTTCTTATTTTGTCAATAGATGTCGTTGCATTCGTATATCTTCAGTGCTACCAATCACATTGTGTCATACCATATAGTGTTGGAAAGGTGAGATTCCAAGCTTCCTTTAACCAAAAAAAACCAGACGAAAAGTGGATCCAATACGATAATAATGTGCGAAAAAAATTATGGTCCAAACGTGGTGAAGCTTAACAATTGGTAGCAAAGCCAGAATTGACGCCTCGAAAGATTATGCTGAGTGTTTGGTGTGATTGGCAAAGAATAATCCACTATGAGCTGCTCCATCCTGATCGAAAGATTGATTCTACATTTTACTGTCAACAACAGATAAGATTGAAGCAAGCAATCGAAAAAAACGGCCAGAACTGATCAACAGAAAGGGCTTGGCTGGGAAGTTTTGATGCATTCACTATATACTCCTGACCGTGTACCATCGGACTACCATTTGTTTCAGTCAATGTAGAACTCGCTTAATGGAGTAAAGTTGGCTTCAGGGAAGTCTCTGAATATTAATTGTCGCAGTTTTTCGCCAAGAAACCAAAAAGGTTTATACTGATGGAATAATGCCTCTAGAAAAAAATGCCAAAAAGTGGTCGACCAAAATGGTACATATTTGCCTAATTAAAGTTCATTATTAATAAAAAACTATAAGTAGAAGTTTGATTAGTAATACGAAATAATTATTTCGACTAACCAATATAAGACCATCTTAAAATAATTGTTTTTTATATACTATATATTTTGTACAATTAAAAAAATGTATAATATATTATTATTTGTGCCTATGATTATTGCAGTAACCATTCATTTCTGTCTTTTCGTTTTATTTGCAGGCTTATGAAATCTTTTACAGTGTAAATTTCGAAATTTCACCAATTAGTAGCCAAACTAATGAACCCATATTAACAGACAATTCTACAGCGAGAGCAGCTGAGCCAATTGCTTTCGATAGTGATTTTGCGTCGTTTGAGAGCGCAGCTAGTTCCGTAGTGGACGATTTTAGATGTGATTACTTTTTGGCAATAAATGTAAGTAGAAACGGTTATTATTAATTTCTAATATTTAAATAGTAACATTAAAAAGGTATAAGCAAAAATGTAGAGATATACAAAAAGGTAAAAATAAAAATAGAATAAACTAATTAAATTACATTTTAAAAATCACTTAAAAATTACTTGCTTAAGCTGTAACACAATTAAGTCCGTCAAGGGCAGTCAATTTCCATAAAAAGTTGTTTCAGCTTATTGCTCGTTATTTATTGATTGCCTTTTGTAGTTCAATAAGTTGCTTAAGCCCCTCTCAGACAACGCTTCCTCTCTACACTTTGCCCTCAACTTGAGATATGTTAATATTTAATTTTTTTCTCTTTGTCATCTCTCTCACTCACACACACTTTGTTGTTTTTGTATACTCGAACTTGACAGACTTTCTTGCTGCTGACGCTGCTTTCGATGATGACTTGTGCCACTTACCAGGTGTTGCGACTTGTATTGAAGTTGTTATTGCTACTGCTTGTTGCTGCCTTTTACACCGGTTTCTCGCTGTATTTGTATATGAGCAGGAATGTGCACTTCATGCTGGAGTGAGTATCAATTTCAATTACAATCTTTCGATTGAGAAAGACAAGCATTCAAATATTTCGCAGAAATGATTTCTTTTAAATATTTAAAGCACTTTTTTGTAACAAGAGTTTTTACAAGAAAAGTGCTCTTAACAAAGTACACTATTTACAATACTCTGTACGTTTGTCATGTAATCAACTTAATAATATAATTGACCTTCTTCTGTTTTCTTTTCAACATGTGTCTCATATATTATTTCACTTGCCTTCAATCTGCCGTCCGACTATTCATCAACGCCGTACTTTCCTCAACAATTAACATCTCGCCTGCAACGGAAAACTGCATGCGTCTGTGTGTTCACATTTATCATCAACAACGCTGTTGGTGTCTTATTGAACGATCCGATTGTCATTCGCACACGACTTGACTTGATAATGCCTTCAAACAGCATGGAAGAGGCTCTACTGCGCTACATAATTGATTTAATTTTCCTGTTTGCATTCATGTTGGCGCTGATTTTTCACAGTCATCAGACGGAGGCCACTTATCGTCTCGATTTCATTTGGAAATTACAAGCAACAGGTGAGTAAGCGAAGGCACACAGCGAAAGTGAAGTAATTATTTGCAAAGATTTCCGCCTCAAATCACTGAGGATGGCGTCTGTATTCTTTAATTGAAGAGCTTGCTCAATCACTTTAAAGAAATTGCTGCTGCAGCGGTGAAATCGCAAAAGTAGTGCGCTGTGGCGTATGCGTAACCTGAGTTATTATCATATTTCAACGGTGCGTATACGTAACTTACCAAAATGCTGCAAATTTAGTGAAAGTTCCACCCCATTTTAACAGCTGTAATGGTTGCAACTGGTGGAAAAGTTAATGACTGCTTAATATTCCATGTTATCAGTTATTGCAAACTTCTCTTCTCTAAAGTATGTAAAACCGGCAAACGCTTGCAAGCGTGGCTGAGCAAGTGTAAAACTACAAAAGTTAAGTGGTGCAAGCACGTAGGGAGTACGAACTATATGTCTTTATAAATATGAAATGAAAAAAAAACATTCAATCGTCTTTATTAGCCGAAGCTTTATCTGCGTTTCTGTTTTTATACCCGTCAGACGATCTCACATTTTGCAACCTCCCTTCTTCTCCTCCAAACAATTTTGTGGTTTCATTCAAGCTACTAATGCTCGATAGGCTTTTTGAAGACAAGGTTTGGTGCTTGATGGATTCAAAGCGTTCTGTGTCGGATCTGCAATATGGCTGGGCATTCACAGAGAAAGTGGAAAATTGTTTCCTTATTTCTTACTATTTCGCAGCCTCGGCATATATTGTTGTAGGGCATTACCATTTTGGACGTATGTTCTCCAAATGGCCAATACCCTGTTATGGTGGCAGTGAGTCTGTAGATACTCTTCGTTAGTTCTTTTTGTATTATATTATATATTGGCCATAACTGTTTAGTTATATTGCATTTTGTTATGATTTCCTAGTGCGCTTTGGATTGAATTGGCTTTGCCTCGAATTCGTTTGTGAAAGCTCCTGCCTTTGCCAACGCGTCTGTTTTTTCATTGCCGAGAATGTTTCTGTGGTCGGGGAACCGTGATCAAGTCTAGATGGAGCTTGTCTTCAAGTGAGCACAGCGCCTTCTTGCAGTTAAGGGCTATGCTGGAATATGTTATGGACGACGAAAATCCCAGGAGAGCTATCCATCTATGTTGCTCCTTTATGTATCCTCTCGCACTTATTCAATTGAGCTTCGCAGGCCTTCTTTATGCCCAGTACTTCCGTTTGGAATATGCCAGCCAAGTTCAGCAGACGGATAGAGAGAAATGTATCGTTATAATGTCACAGCATATTTTGTAGTTCGGACGACTATATCTTATAAAAAGCTTCGGTTTTTGTATTTTTATTTTGATTTTGGTTTCTGTGTATATTCAATTAGAAGCTTAGTGGAGACTCTACCTGTAAAAAATTTGAAACAACTGCAATGTTAATTGTAAGTTTTCTAAAAGACAATATAGAACAATTTTAAGGCACCAAAACGCATTTCCACTCGCTTTTAATTATTTTGCCTGAGTCTAAACTCCTTGTATAAATAATCCAACATATTTTAAAGTTTCCTGCTAGTAAGATTACTTTCCCTTACTGTTCTTCATGCGCTCTCTTTTCCTCGCATTCTTTTGTCCATAAAATTCTACTTCACTGCTTTAAGTATTTATCAGAGTTGTCTGGCTCTGCGATTTCTCTCGTAAAAAACTTTGTTCCATGCCATGGGAAGATTTCTACCAGCCGCGGGGATTGCCAACATTTAACTAATTAAGATTTCATTGTAGCTCTCTCTCTGCGAAAGTTGCGACAATTGAGTTTTACACAAACTTCCATTACATGCAGACATATTATATTAACTATTTAGGTGTCGCGCATACGCCATGGTGTACGCCGGTTTCTCGAAGCATAGCCTTTGTTATAGCTGCGTAGTTTACAGTTGATTTTATTTTTCGCTTTTTGTTGAAATTCAATTACGAGCGCCTTGCTACAAAGCAGCAACTGGTGAAGCAGCACGGCAAACTGCCACAAAGAACCAAAGCGAAAAGTAGAAATAAAGATTCTCCTGAAAATAAAAGAGGAAAAGAAGCGCGAAAACATTTACGACTTCTGCCAAACATCAAAGAGCTGCCCCGTGCGTTACACTTATTATTGTTGCACCGCTCATAGTTGTCGCAGCGGCAACATTATTGCATTCCCTCTCACAACTATTTATGACGTTCGTTCTGCATAACTGCAACGCCAGAATTCTTATTTAATTTGCATGCACACAACCACCCCCAGTCACAAAGTGAGCCAGTCATGCCGTCAGCCACCAAGTCAATCTAACAGTAACGAACCGGCGAAGGTTGGCAACAGCTGTCACTCCAACTCAATATACCGAGAACCTCACAAGCTGTAAGCCATTTCTGCAGCAGCATCAGCATCGTCGTCGCCATTCATGTCACCGTTGCAGCCACCAATTCACCAATGCTAGGGTATCGTGCGACCCTCACTCGCTCCCCCCACTGCAATGCAGTGAATCCTTCGGGCGACCCAAACACAACAACAACACAAAATATATTTGCACAACTTGCCGCAATATTTAAATGCTGATGCAGCCAAGCAACAGCGTCAGTCATGCAAACTCATACACACACGCAAACATACATAGTACAAATGTGCGAATATTGTGCAGCGGTTCGCATTTCAGCATTACATTTCTCCGTTGATATTTATTTATACGATTTTTCTGCCATCGCTCATATTTGCGCAAAAATATTTCCATTCATATTTTTCTTCAAATTTCTTTCTTATGCTTCGTTGTCGGTTTGGAAACCATGTACCCGCCGGTGGTGTTGTTACAATCTGCGCGCTGTTTAGAGGAGAAAGAGGATATGGAACATCTGCAGGCGTACAATCGCAAGCTGCTGGAGAATATATTGCCTGTGCATGTGGCGGAACATTTTCTGAGTCGGGATAAAAATATCGACGTAAGTACTTGCATACACACACAGTATTCATGTATTCATATTTTTAACCTTTTTGATCACCACAATGACATTTCCCTATAACCAAAACTATGCATTTATGTAGAAATTGTATCTTTGGGCACAATAAATTTGCGTAAATTGAAGTGAGTTCGTCGGAAATAGACAAGGTGATGCGAGATTTTTATAAAAAAAAAAATTTGGTGAAAATGCAGAGTAAGCTATCTCTAAGTTCAGTGTAGAAAATAACAATATTTCACATATATTTCTGACTAAGTTAAAACGGCTTATGGGTTACGAATATTTTGTTAAATACACATAATCAGAAAGGCTTCGATTTTAGATGGCTAGGCAGAATAATATACGCTTATTTCAAACTTCAAATTGCTCGTCACACAGCTGAAAAACGGTTTTGAAATAATTCGTTCTTCAATCAGAATCTCCTTCTTGTCGTCCGCATCAACATTATTTCCTTACCATAAACAAATTCGCTCTTAGCGAATCACCACACATTTTACACTCTCGCAGTTTACAAAGATCAAAGCTGGACGAATTATATCTAGACAATATTCTAAAATATGCTATCATTAATATGACTCACAGATTGATAGATGTTTTCATTTCGAAATGAGACATACGACATCTGTCAATCTGTGGGTCATATTAATGACATGTTGATATCTGGAAGTTTGAAGATTTTTTATCCCATTACAATAATTTTTGTGTAAGAGGTCGCACTATTTGTGAACAGTGTTTTTCCGATTTCTTCACTGAGGCTCCATTTATGTACTGTAAAGTAAAATAATTTGGAACCCATTGTTTAATATTATATCAGATTCTATGAAGTCCTTTCGTCCCATCTTGGTTTGGAAATTTAATACATCTGATGCATTGATTTAGTGATGTCTTCCGCATCGTCAGTGCTGTCGTCACAGTTACGGCATGTGTCACTTTCAGGTCACTAAAAACCCCCCTCTAAGGAACCGTTGTCGTTGTTGTTGTAGCGTTAGAATTCTGATGAGTTGACCGGATAGAAGTCCGGGTCCGTTCCGGTTACGTAGACCCGACTGTCGTGGGAACGGCCTAAGGAACCGTCGCCCACCCTAGTACCACATTTGCATTGCTTCAGGGTGGCATCCCATTTTTCTCATTGAGAGACTTACATCTGCATACTTGCGTCTTGGCTCCGCTTTTTGCTGCGTAGCAAGATTGCTGCGAATTTCTTGATAATCTCCCAGTTTGCTTCTTTCACCAGCAGGACGCGGATTAAATTTTCCGCGTTTATTGGGTCAATCAGGTCTTCTATGGCGGTGTGCTCTCGTTGCCATCGTACATATTTAAAAAATATGTGTTCAGCTTCATCTTCTGTAGCATCGTTGTATAAGCGGAGGTACTTTTGGAATTATCCGTGACCGGATAGCAGCCGAGTTGTGTAAAAGTCGGCTTCTCCGAATTGACGGCTTGTCCATAAGTTTAGGTCTTTTATTAGACTGACCGTCCACCTGCTGAGACTTTCTATCTAAGTTGCAATATTCTTATTGTATCTTTTTTTATTTGCTCGTTTGTATTATCGTATGTTTTCTGTAGCTCCCACAGCTTTTTTCTTTCATATGCCAGAAGGTCAATTGGTCCACTACCACTTATAACTAATAATGCATCATCTAACACTCTTCGTTAGGCTGATGCAACTTTGAGGTCCGCGGTCACGCTTCTTCTGTGTCTCGTCCTGTAATTACTGATGCAATGTCATCCGTACCATTTAAGTACGATTCGTCTGGCATTTCGAGATATTTCGCTATACTAAGCGTCTTAGCTAACTTTCCATAAGTTAGGGCCTAGAATAGATCCTTGTGCTGCACTTGTCGTGACCGCTATCTGTCATGATCCTTCTTTTGTTTGGCGTTGCAGTTTTCTATTACTAAGGTAGCACCTCGGCACAGGTCTGACGTAGTCGGGGACTTTAAAGCTTTTTTCTAGAGCGTCGGTCATATCCACCCATCCAGCGCTGCTAAAGACATTTCGGATATCTAAAGTCGCCAGCAACACTATTCTTTTGAATTTATGCCACCTACGCTGGGCTTTACACTTATAAAGAGTGAAATAGTTTTGTAACTATTTAAACTAATCAATATAGGTATTAAAGCACTTAAAGTTAAAATAAGGGCTAAAAATTTCCGGAAGTTCCTCTTTTTTTAAAATAAAGAAAAAAATTTTAATTAAAGCATCCTAATTCCTATGAAACCCTATATCTATATCAATTAGTTTAAAGTGTTCCAAAACATTTATATTCTGGGCCAACATGTTGCGAGAGCATAATAACTTACGACTTTAGTTATTGGCATCAATATTTAATTCATTTCTATAAAATCAATATTAGAAAAATTCCAATGCAAATATTATTACTTACAGATTATAAAAGAACTTTTATGTTCATGAATCTTCATTGTATATAGTCTTGAAGGTGCTCACGCGAGTCTTTCAAAGGCTTTTCCTTTGCAATGTTTCCAAAAAAGTATGTATCTTTTAATTTAATACTGCCTAAATCCACACAGCATGGTTGCATCAATTTCCATTTCATTTCCGGCGTTCTCCAACAAATAATCAAAGTTAAACTACCGATTACATCTTCCTGGTATTATTGTAATTTCATTGCCATAGGAGAGAGCATACTATATGGTTCTATTTGCACAATAGTATAAAAGCCAGACACAGACGAATTGTTCAGGCATAACTGTCACTCCGCCACTGCACACAATAAATACTAATATTATTTCATTTATATTTTACCCCCCCGCCCTGGCAAACAAACAATTGTCAATCGCTGTGCATGTGTGTGGTATATATGGCCCTACAACACTGCCAACTTCACCTCCATCACCGCCGTTGCGACCACTAAATCAACAATCAACACTTGGCTGCCATTCAATGAACGCCACTAACGCCAACAAATGCCGAATAATCCACAACAACTGCACTGTTATATTCGTTACGCGCAACATATTCTGTATTATGTGCGGTTGCCTGCACTGATGGACCGTTAACATTACCACACTATGTCCACACCGGCTGTCACTATTGGCCACACCCATGCAACGCACATGCAGGATCTCTATCACGAGCAGTGCGATAGTGTGTGTATATTATTTGCCTCTATTCCGAATTTTTCGGAGTTCTACGTAGAACTGGAAGGCAATAATGAGGGCGTGGAGTGTTTGCGTTTGCTCAACGAGATTATCGCCGATTTCGATGAACTGCTCAGCGAGGAGCGTTTTCGGTGAGTTTTAAGCGCAGAATTATACTCGCACAAACATATATACGTGTTTGCTTGTGTGCGTAAATTTTGTGTAAATTAACTTTTTGCATGTAATACGAAAGTTTTGCGGTTAATCCTTGAAGCGCACATCAAGTATGAAATTATTTAAAAAAAACTTACCTGAATAAATTATAAAAAACATTTTTTATGTTTTCTTCCCAGATATATTGAAAAGATCAAGAGTACGGGCGCAACCTACATGGCTGCGTCTGGTTTAACGGCGAACACCTGTGATCAAGTGAACTTCGCTCATGTTACCGCTATGGCGGAGTATGCGCTGCAGTTATTCGACAAAATCGAAGAGGTCAACACGCACTCATTCAACAACTTCCGATTGCGAATTGGTAAGAAAGATTACAAACTATTTATATATATAAAATAAATAAAAATANAAAAATATATACATATGTATATAATATTTATTAAAAGTAAAAATGCTATGTTTTACACAATGTATAGAAACAAATGTGTATAATATTATAAAAATAACTTCAAGTACAAACCTAACTTTTTGTGAACATATTTTATTGTCTTCCGATTAGGTATCAATATCGGTCCAGTTGTTGCTGGTGTTATTGGCGCACGTAAACCACAATACGATATTTGGGGTAATGCAGTTAATGTGGCATCGCGCATGGACTCCACTGGGTTACCGGATCATATACAGGTAATTAAATCGAAAGAATTTCAGCTATCGAAAGGAATGTGTAAATATATAATTTGTATAAATAGAAGTGAATTTTGTCACCTTTAAAGATAAAGGTCACACAAAAGCAATATTAAGAGATTTTAGTCCCAAGCAATACAAGAAATTTATATTTACTATACTTATATTACTGAATATTATCCTAACTTACATGTATGTATATTACTAGCTTAGGGTTAACCAGCCCAATTGCTTACATAGCGTTAACGATGCGCGCTTTTTTAAATAATCTTCAGCCACGCATATTTTGATATTTTTCGATTATTACTTTTCTCAGCTTTTTGGTTTTCCTCGTCACTTATGACTCTATTACTACTGATATTGTTGTGATCGAAGCAAAGTATTTTGGGATCAAACTTTAACTAACTAACACGAAGAAGCCTTCAGCAAATAGTTCGTAATTGATATATTTTGTCTGACATAGGCGTACGTATTAAATGGAATTGAAGCATTCAACTTTGAAAATTCATCTCAACTCACCTTACAGGTTTAGATTTTTGATTACAAAATGAGTTCGTTAAGGACAAATCCTCCTTTTTCACTTACCATATATATTATTCCTTCAAAGAAAATGCAGACGAACTTTCCTATAACGCCTTATACTAATAAAAAATATTTAACTCAACTGAAAGCTCATCGCCTTTACTTTCAGTTAGCTTTGCCTTTTCGCCAAATAAATCCTCAACTCTGCGTTCCGAGTTATTGCTTTTATAAGGCAAAATAATAAAAAGGCAAATGCTCTTGTCGATTGTGATATCAATTGGAGATAATAATTTTATCCAATATGTTGTGGCAATACAAGTGAATGAATAGAAAGGGAAGGAATATATGCAAACAAAGACTTAACAAACATATTTAATTGCCACCCATAAAGTGAGTTTGTTGTGGTCTGCAGTCAGAGAACTTCTTGGTTAAGTTAAAAAAATATGCATTTATATTTTTCGCACATATGTATGTACATATATATATATATATATATGGTGCGTATATACTTCTATCAGAAATAACAGCGCGGATGTTAAGGACAAAATTGTGTACCTCATCGCTTTGTTTTTCTTCAGATTGGTAATTGTTACTCGTCATCGATTGGGCATCTAGATCAGTTCTAGGGACTCTACAAGTGTAGGAAAGTGAGGAAAAGTTCTCTGAGAGCCATTCATTTGGGAGTGGCAAGAAACGATTATTTTAAATGAAGCTCAAGCAGCTCACGACTTTAGGCGAATATCTATCCCCAGGGTTGTGCGCTGGGTTTGGGACTCGTCCTGTAAAAAACGGCCCTCATAAATAAGCTAATGCACCTACGAATAATTAGGGAAATACATATGGAATAGTGAAGTCAACTTTGTTTTTAGGAACAATAATTAGCCCGACAATATGGCTCATTGTATTTGATTTCAACTGTGAAAATACTTGGTAATGCTTACAACGCTCTTAAATTTGCTTTCTTTAAACAATAAAAAACGATTAAATAATTTTATAGATATTGTCTGATTTGTTGAAAGTATTTTCGAAACTTCCTAACCTCCATATATATTCACTGAAGCTTGTGTTTCAATTTCAGGTGCAGGACTCAACAAACGATAAACAATATTCCCTGCTTTTCATTCCTCTAATTTGCGAATTATACTAGACTTCTTTATTCACCACTTTCTATGATAGACTTATGAGTGTCCCAAATTATTAAGTTGCGAGGTCAGGCAACACATATTATGTCGGACTTTGTTCCTATAAACTAAAGTAATCATTAAATTACTCCCCATAGAGAGCATATTGCAACTAACTAGGAACGCATTGCTTTAAGGAAAACAACCTCACACGGTGCTTACATACTTTTTTATATTTAAAGTACTGCTACATTTTTGTTTCTATTTGTGTTGACAGAGCCAATCCAATATAGTCAACAAGTTATATTAGTTATTTACGCATGAAACTTTTGCTTTATTTCAACATCTGCGACAGTTATTGTTTTCCCGCGTGGCTGAATTTACTCCCAGCGAAGTTAACTCATTCACTTCCTCTTACTTATTTATTTCATCAGAGGACCAAGGATGTATGACAGACATGTTTATAACAACAATGCCAACATTTTCTTTATATTGTTGTTGAGCTAATATAAGAAAGATTTGTGCGCTTTGCTGCTTTTCCAATCAACTTTTCAACACATTTACACAATTTCCACACTTTCATATTTCATGTTATTTCGCCGCTCTCCCCCTCACTTTTGATGCAGGTGACACAAGAAATGTATCAGATATTGGTTGGACGTGGCTTTGAGCTCACCTGTCGTGGCAGCGTCAATGTAAAAGGTAAAGGCTCCATGATTACATATTTTCTAAAAGGAAAGTCGACGCAAATACCGGAAGTCACAACGGGTAATTTCAATACACCGACGTCGCTGAGCGAGACCAAAGCTGAAAGTATCGAAGACAACAAAAAACTCATTGAAACAACAACTAATCTACCAATTACCTCGCCTCAAGAAGAGAAAACTACAGCAAGTAACATCGAGCTCGTTGATAAAAAGCCGGAACTGCTACCCACAACGCAAGAGCCCAACGAAACGGCTGAACCACCCAGCATACTACAAAGTCAGCACAATAAGAACAGTATCGACTCTGACGACGATCTTTCACCCGACTCGGAGTTGAACTCATACATGCAGAGTGCGACGGCGCAGCGCCGCAAGTCACTCTGCCGTCAACACAACATATCATCTTCCTTCGGCACTACAACCAGCTCGACGTCAGCACTCACGCCCACCATGTCAAGCAGTTCCAGTGTGGTCACAATAGCCGTAATGCCCGCAATCGCCAAGACTGCCTCCTCATCTGTGGACAACTCTACGGATGGCAATTTGGGGAGCGGCTCCCTGAATACCACCACGCCTGGGAACTCGTCAACTGGACGCGGCAATAGCCAGCCTCGCACCTACGTCGACGAACTGAAAGAGGAATATAAAGATGACAGCGACAAGGCGCCACTCAAGGACTCCATTGAAAATCTACAAATTCTACTGAAAAACAACATAAGTCTGTCGGATCTCAGCAATAAGCAGCAATTGAATCTCAGACCAAACGATGCCAAAATGCAGCAGCTGAAAAAGGAGACCATTGTCACATTCCGAACCGAAACACTTGCCTGCCGACAACGCAATTCGATTACAACGATCGCCACGTCAACGCGGCTGCGCAGTTTTGACGAATGCATTACTTCTGTCTTGACAACGCCAGCAACAAAAGCAATCGGCGCTCCCAACAATACTCAGTGGACAAATGGCAGCGCACATAGAAGCGCCGAAAACTCAACGAAAGACAAGCAATCGATGCATAATGGCCCGCAACAGCGTCCACAAGACTTGCCGAGTCGTCAGCGCGTCGATACACATCGCAGTCCCATCAGAAGTTCGCAGTCGATGAGCCCCATCGGTTTGACCGGCAGCGAAGTGTTCGTGCTGCCAAACAGCCGCAGCATGATCGAGTTCAGCAGCAGCGGGAGCAGCAGCACCAGCAGCGACGGCGCCAGCTCCAGCAGCGAGAGCAGCAACACGGCCGCCGACAGCACAATTGCCTATATGCTGCAAGACGTGAGTACCTAAACCTCCCCGAAGTGTGCTACTGCGATGTAGGGTGTTGAAGCGGTGGAAATAATATATCAAATTGCAAGTTTACTGTTATTTGCTGTAAATTATCCCAAGTTAGCATTTAAAATGTAATTATTGTAAAAGTATTTGTTGAAGCTCGTGTACAGAGAAAGAGAGGTTTAAATACTGTTAAGTAGAAGTAGAAGAGTAGAGTATGTATAAAGCTATTTAAGTAAGTAGTCTAATTAACGATCTTGTATATATAATGAACAAACGAATCAAATTGCAAAGGGAAAAGTGCAGGTACATTAGTTGAGTAGGATGTCAAACATACTAACTATACATGCATACATACTTGGTGTTAGGTCATTGTTCTTCCGCCCTAGTACATAGTTTACTAGAGATCTCTGAATTACGCCATGCTCTGCCTCCGATTTATGTTTGTGTATAGTAGTTGTATGATGTATGTAAATAAAAGCAAGCTGCAAGTTTCTGGCTGGTTGAGTGAAAAAGGATGTGCAGGAGCGCCAGACCACAGGTGGCCAACAATAGGCCGATTGTACTTCCGGGAGTTAACTTTAACAAGCCTTATCCTGCAATTCAGTGATTGGGTAAAGCTGTAAGTTACTCTTTTTTATATTACTTTACTTAATATGAGTTTTCATTATTTTCATTTATTGGTTAACTAATTACCTACGAGATCGTCTATGATTTTTAAGGAGAATTCTACCTCTTACTATACTGAAAGCAGGCTTTGTTCCACAGTTTCATTAAAAATCATTCTACATTGGCTATCAATATTGGTTTTGGTTTCGGTGTTTACATTTGGGCCAAAATTGACGAAGTTAGCAACATCCTTAAGGTATGGGTGATAAAGTGGCATTACACTCAAGACGTAAGCGCCTTGCTACTTATTTAACAACAAGAGATATTTCACCAGAGGATTCATACATCTTTCTCCATTTGTCTTGGACAAACATTTTACAAAAATTAACTATATTTTTTTTTTGTTACAAGAAAACTGTTAACCCGAATTTATCCAATTTTTTGTAATCGCTTGATTGATCTGTTAAAGTTGAAATTCTGATTTAAAAGTAAAATCTGGTTGCTTTAAGGATTAGAAATATAGAAATAAATGTAGAATAAAGGGTAGGTTATGAGAGCTACTACTAAGTATACTTGACGAAGAAAGTTCTTAACTTATTCACTTCCTTTAAGGTTTAAGTCTTAAGTAACCGAAATGTTATCGAATTGGTTTTCATTGATTATTCATAACATGTTTTTGATTTCAATGGTCATTACAACATATTTGTTTAAACTGGACCGATTTAAATAACAAAGTATGACTGAAATATAATTGTTCTTTAAATAGTATAAGAAATAATTCAGCTAAGAGTAAAGGCAAGATTACTTAGTTCCTAATAAAATCTTTTTGAAGAGGATAGGTTGTATGTAAGGACCACTGCTTTATCGTGCACTCTATTCTATGCAATATTTATCTCTTCAGTCTCCCGATCTCAGCATATGAATGTTCTTAATATACTCACTTCAGTCAAAGTGTAAATTTTCAGAATCTTAAAACTTACCAAATTGGATTTCATAATTTCATGGATTATTTTTCAAATACCACGCGATTTATTTTCAACGAGGCTTATTTCATAATGGTTAATAAGAGGATAGTTGAGGTTCCTAAGAGTTATAGGTGCAGCACATCGAAATATATACATATGTATAGAGCTAAAGGTGCTTCTTTGAAAATAAATTTTGTCCTGAATGACAACCTCTGTATATGTAAATATATAACTAGCATATGCCACAAAAGTTCATAATTTTGTTATCGAATAATATTACATAACATGTTGAAAAATATATTATTTTCATTAAAAATTAAAAATTAAAAAAAAAATTAACTGTAAATATTATATACTTATGTATATATACTGAATAATACGTAAAATGGTTTCAAACACACCATGAATTTGCAAAACCGTAAAACCTAAGCTTTAAGAAGTAAATAAAATTGCTTGGAGAAAAATACCAACGATTCGAAGGGAAATAAAAAATATCAGCTTTCCTGTTCAAAAATAGTTAAAATTATATTGATTAGCAACAAAATGAACGCCCTCAATTTGAATAGTTTAATTATTTGTTTTCGATTTGGATACAGTTAATTTCATTACAATAGAAAGCCCAGCCATAAATTAGCTTTTTAATGCTAGGGCCCTAATGAAAAGGCTTAGAATTATACATATAGTAAAATATTGGCTACGAATATATGTACATACATGCATGTATAAATTTGTTAATTGCAGTTAATCAGTGTTTTTGTGATTTTTGAGTACTTATTTATTGTTGTTGTTGTTATTAGAATGATTGAAAATCATTGTTCCAAAGTATTAAGAATCGTTCGAATTAAAAATGCATACAAAAGCTATTTAATTGAAATAAATCTATAATAATTAAGTACTTAAGCATTTATAAATATTACTCTGCGCTTGTATGTGTGCTAAATAAGTATAAGCGGTAAATATTTAAAACTAAATGTAAACTTGTTAAGGCAGCTAAGCTCTTTTTAGGCAAATTTAAGTGAATAATAATATGAAAAAAAGCAACTCTGTCAATTTTTGGCTGTATACGAGACACGTAACGTTCATTTCCACTAGAAACAAACACATATACATATAAACAATTCATACATACGATTATATCTAAGTTTATCACATACATACAAATAGCATTGTGCGTGCAAATAAGTTTAGCAAAATTGAATGTGTACAAAATAAATTACAAATTATTACATATACTTACAAACATAAAAACACACATGTTATGCGAATTATTCAAATTTTATATACTCGATTATTGCATTTATTTACAACCACATGCATTCACACCCCATTTATTATGATGTGAAAATAGAAATTCTTTTATGCAACTAATCTTCAATGAGTGAGTACACTGTGCGTGAAGCAAATACTTGTAGTTACGTTAAGTACTTATATATCTGTGTGTATCGTTTATTTTGGGTTGTTGAATCTTTAATAGTGATCAAAATTGAGAATGCTCTTCTAAATGAATTTTTCTAAAATGCTGGACAGAATAAGATTTAACCTTCAACTTTGCTTTGAGGACCTTTGCACTTGTCTAACATAAACGTAACATTTTGTCGACGAAGTTCTACCACCAACTCCTCGCACAGGTCCGGTATAGCCTTTAATAACGTATCAAAATGATATCCACGCATTAGTCTTTGAGTTTGCTGAATAGCTAGAAGTTACATGAAACCGAATCAGATGAATACGCTGGTTGCGCAATAATAAGAGTCGAGTTTTTGGCAAGACAGTCGCAAAGAGCCAATATTCTTTGATGATGGTGTGACCATAGCCGAAGGAATTGATAGTGGATCATACCACGACAATCACTTCACCTTAATTTTTGAACACAGTAGTAACTCCGAAACGCCAAATTAAAATTTTTCCAAAATAATAAATAAACATTCGATAAATATCCGAAACAAAATAATCGATTCTTTCAAATTTACAAGTACATATAATTTCTTAACTCTAGAACAATAAAGAGAAATGTTAACTTAGCTTTAAAACGGAATAAATGTCTCATTTTATTTTAAGATAAAGTTGTTCTTACATTAAAAAAAATATTAATTTAAAAAAGAACCGGGAATTCTATGTAGCATTATTTTTATTACGAACATTTTAGCTATAACTATATTACGTTGTAGGTATGTATTGTATTAGGATCTTGTGATGAAAAAAATTTGATCGTTCTATGTCTAACCATTGTCCTGTATAACTATTATATATACATATATAACTTTTAAAAACCTTATGCATTTCATCATACGTGTGTTCTTTTACTGTATTTGGCGCTAAAGTTCTAGTTATTTACTGTCGCACAGTCTACTCATCATTTATTTATACATTTATCGCTTGGCTTTGGTTGAATGTTATTATACTATTTTATTTACGAAACCATGAATTGATTGATCAAATTAATTGCGAATTATGCAAATTCAAGTTTTAACCGAAAAACCAAAAGTTATTTATTAAAATAATTTATGCAAATAAATTTATGTAAATGTAATTACTGGTAAGCAGTGTTGTAAAATACACCAACAAAAAAAAAACAAAAAAAAAAAATTAAAACCAACAAAGCGCTATCGAAGCATAAATGTACAAAAAGCACCTAAAATAGAAAAAATATGTCTAAAATACCCAATGTCTTACTGTGATTGTATCTATGTACCAGTTGCATATATATATATATATCTACATTTGCGAATGCGAGAATAACATAAATTGCCTCAATGTAAAGTCAAACAAAATTATACGCAAACAATTTAAGTGAATACTCTTTCTATTTTCTATTAATTGTCTGAAAGAAGCCTCTGAAATTGTTTAATTATATTTGGAATTTCTTAGGATCAAACAGGTTATCAATGCTTATAGATTTTATTACACCACCTCTTTTATGTTAGATCAAAGCTGACGCATCCTACGTTTAATCTATTAAGTCAAGTAGAAAAGGAAATTTACAGAGACTGCCTCTGCTTCGTTGTTCTACATATATTTCACACTAATTCAAGACAGTTAGGAAATCTGTAGTGCAGAACTATAGCATTGACTGATCGGCTTTTCCACGACTAAAACTCGACATATACATCATTATATGTGACCTGGTCTATGAAAAGGGAGCTAACGTGCGAAAACTAGTTTTCTGGGAAACAGCTGTTAAAAATCTCATCTTCCATCCGAATCAACTAAAAAGTGAAAACTGATTTTTTGGATTCTTTGACACCTTTGCCCCCTTTCCGTAGACCAGGTCACATATATTAAATCACGATGGACGCTTAACTACTGAACCGATTTTACATTTGATTGCACACCGTGTTCAATTTGATCCAACTTGAAGGACAAGATAACTTACATCTCAATTTATAATCGCAATATTATATTATTGCAAATTATTTGTCTATTATTTGACAGTCAGAATTATTTCTTTTTGTGAGACGATTATTCCATTGAGATCAGTCCTTATATATTATTAAGCTTTCTTCTGAAAGATGTATCACTGGAAATTATGGTGGCTCATATACTCTAAAGTAAAAAAACATTTAGACTTTAGAGAGTTAGGCTCACTTTATTTGGTACTCAATCGCCTAACAACACTTCCACTTTTTTTGGTGGCGATCAATCATCTCAATCAGCAGAGTTATGTGCTCGCAGACAGCATCAGATTCAAGCCGAGTGCCTGCTGATTTAGGTATTGTTACTGCTAAAGTGTCCATGAGTTGTGACCAGCTGCTAATGGAATTTAATTTATGTTTTATAAACTAATTGAAATGAATAACGGACACAGTGACTTTGCCGGCAAACGATGTCTGGTCTGATGGACAAACATATGTGCATATGAAGTGTGCATGTATGTACTTACTCGTATGTGCTGGAAATGAATGTTTAGTCACTGAGATTTGCAACCGAGAATTTCACGCTTTTTCCATTATATGTGCACATTTGTATATATGTATGTATGCATGTATATTTCTACTATATAAATAAAATGTATTTCCAGTGCATTTTCGGAAAATCTCCACACGAATGACTGTCACATTTTTAGCATAGCTTAAATGCTTAACAATTAATAATCTAAATACCAAAACAATTTGTTGAGGACTCTCAAAGCAATTAATTTCGCATTTGCGCTTTTAACAAATAATTAATTACGTTTTTATTAACACAAAATATTTTTAGAGACTTTTTTTGGGATTTCAATAACTTTTCATACATGGCATATAATATGGCAGACACACAAGTGAAAGTGAAAGTTTGCATAAACGAATATTTAAGACAAATTCACAGAATAATGTGAATAGTATTTGTATGTAAATATAGCTGTATGTATATAATTCTGTTATATTGGTGTATATGTTTATGTATTTTAAGTGCAGAATACAAGGAAAATATTGAAACTCATATGAAAAGTTATCTATATTTGTATCATACAATTTAAATAAATGTCTGTGCAATAATGTTTATTAAATGTTAAGTACTATTATATATGAGAGAATTTTAAATTTTAAGGCTAAATGTGCTGTTAATTAAAAATGGAAAATATTTACAAATGAATAAAGAAACTGAAATTTAATAAAAGGTAGTTTAATGTGACTAGAAGAGCAAAGTATGAAATAACCGACATTGATACAATTATTCTCAACGGCTTGGTCATCGGTGTTCTGTAGCGATACAAGCTGGTTTAATGTTGAATGAAAACCAGGGTCCTGGTGACATTCTTTTCTAAGCAGCTTGAGAGTGTTCACTCAGCGGCTCCCATCAGCATTTCTGTTGCATCAAAAAATACTATCGGTTTCAGAGAAGCAGTTTTTCTAGATAATAATTGCGTGCCAAGACGCTCCGGAATCCTCGCACACTTTGATTGTCTTTTCTCCATATGTATATTTGTTGAGATAGTATTCATGTAAAGGAATTGTTGTAAGAGATGTCCAATAAAATTTTTACCATTGGGTCAAGGTGTCCAGTGGTCTGTAGTTCATCGGTTTTCAAGCAGAACCGGAACGCTGCCTCATCAGAGAAATAACTATCCACTACGGTAGCAGGGTAGCAAAACTAGTTTTGTGTTTATCACAGTGAAATCGTGATGAGATTATAAATATTGGAAGTTGCTTGGAAAGAGATGATATAGAACCATTTTAACACTTCCGAGATTAAAGCAAATAAACATAAGATCGAACTCATTTCCTCAAATATCCAGATGTATTAGCGCGACTAAAAGACAGCCAAGTAGTTTGAGCCTTATCTAAAATAAAACTGTTGGATTTTTCAGGCACCAGAAAGAATTGTTTTTACCAATAATATTGCCAAAAATGAATTAAATGCCTTTGGCAGAGTCAAACAATTTTACTTATATCTTCTGCAACTTTCTTATAGAATCCTTAAACTGGAATATATAACTCTCAACTCTGTAGCCCTTAGATCTCCAACATGCGTAGAATAGCGTAACTATCTGATACTTTCCCTCTTAATTCATTAGTTTTCTGGCAGTTTCCCCCGTAAGTTGTTTTTGTGGACTAAACAAACACCCATCTTCTTGCAGTACCGTCGTTTTAGATAATTAAACCCAAAGTTATTTAAATGTGAATTCAATGTTTTGTTTATTCATCTTCATAATTTCCAAATTGGTTTGACCCTCTTCATGAACTTAACGAAGTGAATACAAATAAAACCGCCAAACCATAAATGTGTAGAGAAGATAAAATGCACCTTGGATGGCAATAAATCTCATTTAAATAAGCATATTGGAGGCAGTTCTCGCGCAAAATATAAATGTAAAAGTATTATTGTAGCGAATATGTGATTCCTAATAATAAAATAGAAGGGATGAAATTCATTTAACAAAACACACGCAGATAAAAATCCACGCGCCCACATCAAAAAAGCCTTGCGTTCAGCTTTGACCTGCGGCGTCGCCACGACGCAGCTTTGGACGGTTGACACTCCATTAAATCTTAAATCTTCTTAGCACGACGCCACAGAAAGTAGTATCCCAAAATGTGGAAGCCAAAGTAAATAGCCACAATCGCCAGCAAATTTCGGTAGAGGTTCGACTCATTAAAACTGTATTTGTCCAGCACATCCTGACCCGTGTGGAAGCACGGCAGGTTCTCGCTCTCCTCGAAGCAGGCTGCAAAACAGGTTAAGAAAACATTCGTGGAATGAGTGAAACCAAAAAAAATATGATACAGGAAATTAATTACCATTAAAAAATATAGGGACGCTGTAAGATTGTGGGAGTGCGAACGCTTATATGCAAATAAGGCAAAGCAGCTTAAGTAAATTTTAAATTGGCAAGAATACGCCGAGCCAATGGCCGTTACAAGCGTAGCTAAGTAGGCCAGTGGCGACTAAGGAAATGTGAGGCAGAAAAGGTAGACTCGCGCCGAATACATGGTAAGGCAAAGAAAAAATACGTAAACACGTTGAAATTAATGAAATTTAAGATGAAAGTATGGCCGCAGACTTTTATACAAGCGGCAAAGGAAGTGAAGTGAGGAAAGCGAGTGCAAAATTAAGGTTAGTGAAACATGAAAATATGGAAAGCATTAAATAAATAAAACTTTGCTTTAAAGTAGAACTTATCTAAGCGCGTAATCATTAAGTTATAAATGAAGGACGCTTCAAATAGATGAAAAAGCATAGATTAAAATTAATATTACTAGGGTGGGGTGTTTTCATAAAGTCAGTTGGGAAAATATTTTAACAAAATTAAGATAGTCCGTAATTGAATGTGTACAGCTATATATTTAATATATATTTTATATATTTAATGACACTTGGTGCACATGTTCCTTAGCATCTGAAAGTGCCGGTATTGCAAATGGGTGTAATCGGGCCACGCCCACAAAATAATCGAAAACATATAAATTGCTATAATTTAGCTAAATGGGAAAACATTCCACATAAAGGGTAAACAAAAATGTAAACAAAGGCGTCATTGATCCCACAAAATGTAAACAAAAGAGTCAGTGAGTTCAAAGGGTCAGGCTAAGTATAAACAAAGGTTAATGACTTGGCTAAATGTAAACTAAAAGTTCATTGATCTCGAAAAATGTAATTGATTCAAAAAATGTTCAGTAACCCCAAATGTACACTAAAGTTGTGGACTTAGCTAAGTGTAATAAAGGGATGTGGACTTGGCTAACTCTTAGCTTCATAAGGTGTAAGACAAGTTACGCCTTCTTTTTTCAAAAAACTGCTTATTACTTGAAACTGCCGATATTGGACCACTATAAGACAGAGCTGCCATACAAACTAATCGATCTCTTTTTATACTATCTTTTATACTTTATACTACTGCTATAAAAAACGTCAGTGTGAAGGTATTAGAGCTTCGGTGGAACTATTACGTTAATTTTTTTCTTGTTCTACGAAATTTTTAATTAACTTTCAAGGTTCAACTTATCAAAATTGCGTTAGTTTAAAAGTCCAATTATTCTCGCAAATAAGAAGTTGGTGCAGAGCTCAGTAATATTTTAGTTCCACACTTAAAACTTGATATACTCAATTATTTTCTTTTATTTATAAATTTTGTTAAAGTGAATTATCCGTTCTCCTTTTTTCCTATGAACATATAATTATATTCAAAAAATACTCATCTCCAAAACTGTTGCGAAAAAATCTTAAAATATATACTCACCCTATTACGAAACAAAAAAAAGTATGTAAATGTAGGTCGCGCAAATATGATGGCAATAACTCAGTGCAAATATGAATACGCTCAAGCATCATTGGTGTTAATTTAAAAACAAAACAAAGCTTTTTTAATATATACATTCATACTCACTGATATTTTGCACGCCGGACCATTGAGCAATCGTCATCGCTTCATTTGCATATAACATCCATGACAGGAATTGTGTCCAATAAAACGCCATTGGCAAAGTGCTGCAAGTTAACCGCAAACACACGTCTCATTAAATATTTATTTGCATACCGGTATATAACACAAATAAATGTATGTGTGTTCGTGTGGCAAGTGAGCATGTTGGGCATTGACAGCAACTCACCTAATTTTAATGAAAATTCCAGATGTTATCATGAAAATGTAATCGACGGGCACCAAATAAGCCATGGCCAAAGGAACTGAATTGAACGCTGTGGAAAAGAAGCAGCCACAGGCTGTTGCAACATTCATAACCAGAACGATTGATATGGCCGTTATGCTGAAGGCGAAGAATGTGGCACGCAAACCGGTTATCCAATAACAGATTATTACGAACAGCAGCGGCTCAATAATCATCCCAGGTAGCTAGAATGTATAGAAAGGTAGTCAATTCGCTAAACATGAATTCTTTGTATCATTAAATTGTTTCCATTATAAAGGGAATACTTTTAAATAAACAGTGACTCCTTTAAATATCTCTAAAAGTTTTTTATAGTATATAATTTAATAACCCTCTCTTATCATTTATTTCTCGCCTCCAAAAACAAATGACACATTCTTGTCGGGCTTCTTCCAAAAAGTCAGACCTCTTTTAGAAGGCAGGCTAACTAAATTCAAAATCGCAAACCTGGTGAAAGCTCTTGCCTAAAATTACGTTTAAATTCACTTACCATCGCCAGTATATTGGCCACATAGTATTGTGCCGTCGAATACATTCCAGAACGTGTTTCGCGTAGAAATAGGGGGAATCCCTGTGGGAAGACATTCAAAACGGAATACATTGGATGATAGGTATTTTCCGATATCATAACGAACAGTGCACCCTGTACGGCCTGCACTCCCAGCTGTGAGACTGTTATAGTACCGGCAAAACATGCGCCTATAATAACGGCCATAGCCATTTTTTGGAAAAATCGCATACGTTGCACCGTCGGATCGCGCATCAACGACAGCGAAGCGCGATACCAAATCATATGGAACTTCTTGTACCAAGCAGCCGAACGAAAAGTATCAACCTCCACGTCGAAGGGATAGTCACCCGTCTGCGCCATGTGAATCTCCAGATTGACCAGCATATCGCGTTGTTTAGCCGCGTTGCTGACCGCAAACATATCGCACAAATGCTGCGCGGAACGTTGAGAGGCCTGTTCATAACCCGGATCCGTGGCCAACACGCCAATCAAGAAGTCCGCCGGATTATAAGCCTCCGGACAATGATAACCGTTCTCAGCGAAAAAGTTCAGCGCATTTTGTGGCGAACCAGTGAAGGCCACACGCCCATCGGCCAAAAGTAGCACATTGTTGAACATATCGAAGAGCTGACTGGAGGGCTGATGTATGGTGCACAATATGGTGGTGCCCTTTTTGGCCAGATCATAAAGTGTTTGCACTAATTGTTGAGCGCTAAACGAATCCAGACCGGTGGTGGGCTCGTCACAGAACAAGATAACCGGATCGTTAAGCAGCTCGACAGCGAACGCCAGCCGCTTGCGCTCTCCACCCGACAACATTTTCTTGTCATCGCCGGAGCCGATGCGCGTGTATGCGACGGACAGAAGACCGGTGCGCTCCAATAGATCGTTTATAATTTCCTTGCGTTCCCGACGACTCACACGACGATCCAAGCGGAGATGCGCCTGCATGAAATAGGGATAACAATAGGTAAAGCGGAAATGTAAATAAATTTGCGCCTACTCACCATGAATGTCATGTGCTCCAGTACGGTTAAAGTGTCGATAAATAAATCATCCTGATATACATAGCCGCTGATGCGATGCATAAATGGGCCAATGCGACGGCCGTTTATCAAGATATCACCCTGAACAATGGTGCCGGCTAAAGATAGCGTGCGTGAGATAAATGCAAACGGAAATAACGATATCAGTGTTATCTTAGGCATAGCCATGAACATTCGAGGTACACAGCGTTAGTTAAATGAGTGTAGTGGTAAGGTTAAACGTTAAGGGTGTCCTTGTTTTTTAATACGCTAATAAAATTTTATTGCGCTAAGTTTGATGGTAGAGGTTGCTGCAAATGTAATACAAAACGTTTACAAATCGTTCAACTTTATTACGAAAATTCACGTTCTGAAAAGAATTTGTTTCGCGAGTTTCGCGCAAATTATGGTCAACATTATCGGTCTACTGAACGTACTATTTACAACACCATCACCCATTTTGAGACCCAGCATTCATTCTGGAATAATATTCGACCGAATAGACCACGTCCAGTACGTAGTGAAGAAAAGCAGCCGTAGCTGAGAGTGTGCACGAAGACCGTTGGTAGTCGATTCGCAGCAACTCGGACTGACGTATGGAACCACTTGGCGAATTGAGATCTTGATTGATCTAGACTGCGCTAAAACCGAAACCGCTCGACCGTTCCTAACGACATCACTTCACTATATGGGATTTTGAAAAGTTTCAAAAGTTTCAAAAGTTTCAAAAAGATGACACATTTCTGGTTAAAAGGGTATGTATCTTCAAAAATGATGTCGGTGAGAACGCTACCTCCTATGGCGACCATTATCGAGCCATTACAACCGACTATTTGAAGTTCGTGATCTTGGCGACATTTGGTTTCGGCGCACACATCTCATCAATAAATTCGGTGAGCAGATAATTTTATGTTTTGTGTCGGCCATCAAGATCGTGTGATATACCTCCGTTAGACTTTTTCCTGTAGAGGTATGGAAAATGTAAGGTCTATGCAGAAAATCTCTCCTCAATTCAGGCCTTGGAGCGAAACATCAAACTTGCCATTCGCCAGTTACGCCAACGGATGGATAATCTGAGACGTAGCCGCGGCCAACATGAAAAAATAAATGCCAAAGAATGTTCTTTCGATTGATAGTAAACATTTCCCATTAAATTTGCAGTTTCTGTGTTTTCTTCTTTAAAAAGTTGGGAACTTGAAATGGATAACCATTTATAACAATATCTGGACACACCATTTTATCAGAACTTCTTAAAAGTTATCTTGGGCTTACAACTTAATTAACATTCCTATTAAATCTTCTTATTATTAAATAGTACTACTAAAAAGGACACCCTTAATGAAAAGAATTATTTTGACATATGCATAAACATTTCACAATGTACGTATACACATGCATGCATGTATATTGTTAATCTATGTGTTGCATATTTATTTACTAACCTGGTTGACGGAAGGCGAGTGTTGACATCAGTGTCGTCTTACCAGAGCCACTGTCAATGTAAGTAAATTATATTTCCACATTCACATATATATTGTATATTTGTAATTAGAGAAGAATGTGAGTTACCGTTTATATGTGCACACACAAGTGTGTAAATAAAAAAAGATAGAAAAACTTAGAATACATTGACCCGCAAACGTAAATCTCTCCACACACGCACATATTTCCATACATATATAAGTATATTCACTGACATATCGTAGAATGCAAAAAGTAAATAAAACACATTCTATTTATTTGCATGAACATTTGTCCCACTGGGAGGCGTTCGCCATTGAAGAGAACTTGACAACAATTACACTCGTGCAGCATGGCTTTTTCGGTTCATCCACAAAGGCGTTGCATATTCACTATCTAACTGTTGTTCGAGTTTATTTGCATGCCTGCGCACTCGTTCGCTGTTCATTGGCATCACTCATGTTTTCAAGGTAATTAATTTTTATGTTGCTTTCAACTGCTTTTAGCTCTTATCACAACCGTTATCTCTTATCTCTAAGGTTAGAACATAAATAAAAAATAACTTATGTTTGTGGCATTTAGAGAATTATCTCCATTTAACGTAGGACTGAATGTGTAAACGTTTCATAGTATGACATGACTTAGACATTTAATACTTTTTTCTAAAGGAGACGTAGTATGAGAGCAAAATCCGGGCGCCCGTCATACTGTAGATCTGTGCAATATATATTTGATGTCACCTTAATTAAGCTTTTTGAATCAGGATGCCGTGACTTATTCCGACCCTAACGTTCTGTCCATGCAAAGTAAGAAACTATCCATAACATATTTGTTTACCCTCAAATTTCTGATTTCTAATTTCTGACAAAATTTATGAGTACAAATTCGTCTCGACTAATTCCGCTCTAAATGTATTCGAGATATCAATGTTTAGAGCTGTAAAACTTCACCCTAATCGTATATACTATTCTCGAAATAATCACAGTTATTTTCCGGTATAAAAAGCCAATGACTTCTTGTTTGATCGCCAGCTCTTTTGCTGCTCAACGAGAAGCCCTATAAATAAGTAGTGCAGATGTAATTCGAAACTTGACCGCATTTTGTGCAACGAATGCAAAGCCAAAGGAGAAGGCGAAGGAAATTGCGTGAACTCAAGAAACTCTCTTACAGAATACGGCAGTAACGGTTAACGGTACAACATAATTTGTATACAACTATGTATACTTGTATATATGACATTAAATGTAAATTATTTTAAATGTAATTGATTGATTAATTTATTATGGTAATTAGATTAAGTTCGGAGTCGATAAAAATTTGTTTTCGAGATTGGTACAATTTTAGCATGACAATGTTTGCATGAGTTTCATGTGATTTTTTGGCAATTAATGTGTGGTTGGGAGTTCTTTGCCAGCGGTGCGAAATGTTTCTCTGCGATTATGTATAAGTATATATTTATTTATATATGGATCCACAACCCAAGCATTAATGAAAATGTGTTCAGGCGATCCAGTTGTTGTGATGCTCAGTAATATATCTCTGTTATGCCAACACAACTTTTTTGAAGCAGTGTTTTTAAATTTTTTATCAGTCTGTTCCGACAGACCAGTTCGGGTCAAATTTGATCTTTAGTGGGTCAAGTCATTATTTAAAGCGCGGGTTAGATATTAATAACTTTCATCATGTGGAGTTATTTGACAATTAGAAATTACACATATTAAGTAACAACAACTGACCCGATATTCACCATGCGCCAAATCTTGGAAAATACTCGTGAAAAGATGCACGATATGCAGCTGCTTTTATGCCGCGAAACTAATACGGCTGTGTAAACTGACGTTGAGCAATACTAAAAGCTCAGTCGTGATCGGGAAGGACCTCTCCGAGGCGATACCTAACGAGATTTCAGACAAAGGACTCCTTAACACACGATTTCCGCTGCTAGAGAAAATAATTAGAGTTGCAGATTTAAATGGAGAAGGCACAATATTTTATAAGATATTAAGATTAAGAAGATAATTAGATTTTATTTTAAGCTGGCATACGCCGATTGTATTGATATCATTGGGATCAACAACCGCGCCTATTATTGAACGAGGGAAAGACAAAATACCTCCTGTCATCAAACAGACAGTCGTCGCACTCGCAACTTAACTCCCATTTTTTCGCTTATATTGGAGCCATCATTAACACCAAGAACAAGGACCCGATATCCAATGTAGAATAACTTTCGCCAACAGATGCTACTTCGATTTAAGTAGGCAATTGATGGTTTTATGGTTCTTTGAACTTTGGCCACCGCGAATATCGTATTCGATGGAACGATGAACTGTACGAGATACATACATATATGGCGACATTGGCATAGTTCGGTGAATTAAGAGGCAACGGCTACTCTGGCTAAATCATGTCGTCCAGCTATGAGAATATTTGACGCAATACCCGCTGGGGGAAACAGAGGAAGAGTTTTTTTCTTTATTTCAAACAACGAACATTTTAAAAATATATTCTCAAACCGAGATTATTTTAAGAAATCTCTGCAAATATTTTATCGCTTTCGACCACATGTTCCAACGATACACGTTGAGAGAAATATGAGTAGATCATTTTAAATTCACTTTACACAAAACTACAGCAGATTAAATAACTTTTATTTGCACTTTTTCTTTCAGCATTTACAAATCTATTTGCACGCAAAACGCTTATCAACATAAGCGCAAGCTGAATTCTTCACTTCACTGACTCTACATAATCTAATACGACCGTCTAGAGGAATTCGATGCAAAACAAACAAACAGCGAAAACATCTCAGGGCTAACCAGTTAGATTATCAAATACTCTTATCTCGCACATTCACACATACAGTGTGTGTGGTGAGTGTGGATGTGTGAGATCAGAGATAGCAAAAGCAAAAATTCAAATTTCAAGGATTACACAATTTTAGAACTTTTCCATTTTCATGAAAATTAAAATTATTTTCTGCTATTCACACATGCCAAGCCAGGCCAGAGGTGAATAAAGCGCACGCTTCCGTTGTCGAAAAGCCGCAAAAAGCAATCTTGATGAAGGTGCGAATCGCCTGTGACATGTTAAGAGTACTTCATTGCGCGCTGCACAAACCAAACACACACACACACACGTGCACTCACTTAACGCACACAAACAGGACCGTTACATAGGCGTATACACATGTCCACCCACCTGGAACCCATTAGCGCCATCAGATTGCCCGGCTGCACCGCACCTGTCGAGTTGTTAATGATGCGCTTCATTTTGTGCAAACTGCCGCCACCGCTCGCGCCATTCGGCTCGCCCGTCGTGTAGACGCACAAGTCGCGCCACACCAACGTGGCACCCTGCTCCGTGGGCGACCACTTGCTGTAGCTGCGCAGCGGCAGACTGCGCTCCGAACTGTTGCGCGTGGAGGCGGTGCGCGGCGGCGTGGTGGAAATGTCGGTGATGGCAATCCGACTGCCCCCGCCACTCGCGCCAGGACTTCCCTCGGCGCCGCTATTGCCATTCACACTGCTGCTCCTGGCGCGCCTGTTATCATTGCTGTGCTTATTATTGCCGTTGCTCGGTACACCAACAACATCCTGCAATTCCATTTGCTCAGCAGCATCCATGTGGATGGTGTTGTTGTTGTTGCTGTTGGGGAAGTTTTTCCCGTTCGTCGCGTAGTCAGCGCGTGGCGGATCAACGCTGCGGGTTTGCTCCATTGAGATGAGATTATCTGTTGACATTTTTATTGTATCCTCAAGGGATTTATCGGTTTTGTCTTATTTTTGCCGCACTTTCACTTTGCACTATTTTCACAGTAGAATCACATACACGTACACATGCACTCTGTCCGTTAAGTGTTCATTTGCAGTAGTTAAATGTGAAGTGGCAGCGCTCGCGTGTTTGCTTGGTACCGCGCGTGGCGAACAACTGATTGTGGGGTTTCTTCGAAGCTGCCTATTTACCGTGTGAGGCAAGCACACGGATCTGTGGAAAACATATTTAAATATATACGTGCATATGCGACTGTACTGGCTTGCAGCCGTAGTAAGGGTGTGTGTGTGTGTGTATCTTTGAGTAGTTTGCTTCGGGCTAAAGCTCAACAGTAAACACACGTCTAGCACCTAATCCCACAGTATGAAGATACGCCTGAGTGGTATTCTAACTGTTATATGGCTATATAGGTATATATCTTTGTTTGTACACACTTTTCACCTGTGTAGGCCAGACAGCGTGTTAAGCAGATCTTTTCGAACCATTCAACCACTCAACATAACGCCAAGTTGGCTGCAACTGGCCTAATTATGATAAAACGGAAGGAGTTAACAGGAGATCACTTTTATTAAATTTTAGGTGTCATAAATGCTATCTGAAGACAAAGCCAAAGCTTTTGACACAAATTATGCATTTCTCGAAATACAAAGGCCACTCCTCCAAGCACTAGACAAAGGAGTGGGCAATATGGCCTCTGGACGCAACCGTTATTGCAAGTAAATGGAACATACACGATAATTTCAACACTATGCCTCAAGTCTTGTTTGAATTAGTGATCCATTAAGTACTAATCGCTCGATAAGTAACGTCGACAGAGTGATTTTATGTCGACAGATGAGCCTGCTAAATATCCAACCGAAAGCTCGGCTCGCGCAATGCAATTAATCGCTGTCTTGAGAAGTACCATATTACAAAGTATTTCACTTATATATATATATATATATTTTTTTTTACAGTCTCATTCAGTTTGCTTTGGCCTTGTCGATATTAGGAATAGGAAGACCGATTGGGCCTTGGAGTTTTGTTGAAACCCAAAGGTCCCAGACATCCATCACTTCAATATCAGTTCCACAATTACAGCGATATTTTCCAAGAAAATAGGAATAGGGATGCCAGTTACTATTTTTTTTTTTTTTAAATATCGCTGCTATTTTGAAATTGCTATTGATACGTTGATTTCAAAGACTTTTGGTTTCAACATAATTGCATGTCAAGTTTTTCAATTTTGGTTTCGGCGAAATCGCTGATGTAGCTTTTTCCCTTTAGCTCGTTAGTTACCTAGCCATTATTTGTTGTGTTTTTGCCTTGGTCACAATCATGGTTTGATGGGATGGTGCATTATCATGGTGAAAAATCCATCAATTTTTCTTCTATTATTCCGACCGTTTTCGACGGATGCTCTTATGCATGCATTTCAACCACGTTTCACGACCAAGTATAACTCCTTATTGACCGCCTGCACCTCTGGAACAAATACATGATGCACCAAACTATTAATAACGAAAAAACAATGGGCATCAACTTCATTTTTGAGCTGCTTTGGCGTGGTGTTTTTGATTTCGACTCTATTTTTCCTTCCATTCCCATGATTGTTGACTGGCATCATCATCGGCAGTTACAATACTCTCCATGAATGTGTCCAAAACGCGTTTCATACTTAAAATATCCACCAAAATCATTCGAACGGGCTCTCTGTCGAGCTCTCTTGCAATGTCTCTAAAACTTGCTTGCATGTTGGGTAAGCGTATTCGTATTCGTATTTGGTCAAGAGATGTCGTTGTAGTCGTATATCAATCGTGCTCATACCATATAGTGTTAGAAAGATGAGATTTTAAGCTTCATTTCACAAAAAAAAAAAATTAAGTTTGGGTGAGTTGAAAAAAAGGTAAAGCTGTTCAAAAGTGAGTGAAAATAATAAATAAAAAGCATGTCCAAAGATACTTAAGTGCAAAAAATCAGCTTTATCTGAACGACCCGAGCAAGAACACGTTTGATACACAAAATATCCACTAAAATAATTCGATCCGACCCGCAAGCAGCATATCCTCACTTTTTTAATATTTTCAACAGTTGAAGAGGTCGAAGGTTGGCCAATGATACCACTTTGTACCTCTCGTAGACCTGTGTTTTTTGATAAACCTGTATAAATTTTGCCTGTAAGACTTTTCAAACATTCGCAACGATTCCTGAAAGGAAATTTGGTTTAAAATACAAAACTAAAACAAATTCCTTCTTCGATATTTTTAACCATTGTAAAAATGTCAACGCACTATTGAGGTGTGCGTCTTAAGCATCTGCTGTAAACAAACCGTTGACAGATCGCGCTTATATTTGGCATAATAATTAAGAACAGTCCTACCAACTTAGCTGTCTACATTTATTGAAATATCATTTAGCCGAGGAATTTAATTACAATTGAGCGGTGCTTTTTTGTCACAATGTAAATTGCTTCGACGGCTGCTCTTAATTACTTGCTCATCTATTTGCATTTGTATTTAAATTCTGAAATCGGAATTACTGCAAAAGGAATACACGAAGATTACTATTCTACCGTTATCACTATTTACTTCGGCTGTAAACGGACTTCAAATGCCTAACGCCGCATAATAATCAAATGAATAAATTAAACTTTCCAAATGCGCACTGATTAGATGCTATTAAAATGTGTTTACTTTTAAGTATCAATACATACATACATATGTAGATTACTCGCAGATATTTCAATGAATTTCAAACGTAATTTATTTCTACTTATGGATTATGGCGCTACAAAACGTTAATTTGTAAAAGCTTCATTGAGTGAATCGTCTATTGTTAAATTATTGAATGAAGCTGATATTCTGTGGGGAGAGGGGTGTTTGTTGCCTGATTTTGTATATTCTGAAATTTTTATAAAAGAACAAATTGAGGCACTCATAGCATTTGTTACAGAGTGTTATATAATACATCTTTGAAATAAGAGGGAAACTTATGACTCGATCTGTATTGTGCAATGTGAAAATTGCTTAAGTCAGCAGTAAAAATATGATCCATAACCAGTCCCTGCTTGCATTCCATCAGATTTTTATTCTTTGGTTATGAATTGTTCTAAGAGATAAGAGCGACTGCATGTTTGGTTCGTCGATCGTTAATTTGTCTTGAAACTACATTATAGTATTTATATCACCTAGCAGTAAGTCCATCCCTCATAAATCTGTTAAAGGTGTAGCTCATTCGATATTTTATTTATGTCCGCAGCCTACTTTGTGGAATCAGATTTCATAAATTCACTTCCATAGTTAAGTGCTTAATAATACTCTTCCACATGTGAATAACGCTGCAGAGATCGCTGAGTATGAGAATGACTGTTATTTGAATAAGTTCTAAAAGCTCGGCGACCATTTGAAATTTATAAGTTCAGTTGGAACGCGATCAGCGTAGTGATCGGTGTGGCGTATCGGCTCAAGTAAATGAAATTATGGAAATAATTTCAAACTCGTTGTAAAAGCTGTTTTTGATTTGTTACTTTCGGAAACCGAACACGTTAGCCTAAAAAGTGAAAAAGTATAATTGTAAATAAAGAAAACAATTTTTGCATGCGTATTTAAACCTCTCAGCAAGGTTGAAATATTATACAAAAGAATTAAAATAAGAGAAACAAAGTGAATAGAAATTAATATATACATATAGCAATTATATGCATGTTGCAGTTGACGGCAAAGTCTGTTTCAGTGATATTATGTTGATGTGATGTGTGATTTTTTTGATGACTTGAAGTTAGTATTTTCCAAATTTTCAAAGCGATTATTTTGGTCTTGACATAAAATCCTATAGAAAAATAATAACTCTCCACAAAAAAAAAACATATATTTGAAGTACAGTGCACTCCCGTTAAAATGAACAATTTTAAACCAATTTCGTTGAAGAAGTAATTTTTTTATTTCATTTATTAATTTTATCTGCTTTGCTCTAAAAATGAGATACTGTTATACAAAATTTACGATTTTACACATCTTCATTGGTCTACAACAAACGTCCTTCTTTAAAGTATCAAAGCTCTAACACGTTGAACATAATTGGAATTATGGGTTTACTTTAAATATAATGGCACGTATCTGATAAGCCGTTATGCACGCGGAAGTTTTATTTATGGTACCTTGATATCTCGCCAATTAGAAACTAAAACGACGCTGCATTTCATCTTATCTCTCAATCCTGCTATTTATTATACAGTAAATGGGCGTGGCGTTCAGCTGAGGTGTCTAAAGAACCTGAAAATAAGCTATAAAAATATATTGCTTGGAGATAAAAAATTCCGGCTATTTTAGATAATGCATCAGATGTCAAACTTTCGTTCTAGAAATGTATAAAAATCCTTCATAATTTACCTCCACAATCTCTTCTTACATACATACATGTATGCAAATATATATGAGTGTTGATTATCATTTATCGACGCAAGTGTAAATATGCGTCGCGTAATCTAATCGCCGATGTCATTAATGTCGGGAAAAACGTACATACATATGTAGTTCTGATAGTAAGACTCAAAAACACAGTGTAGCGACCCGGCCGTCGTCTTCAGTGATCGCTTCTTCGAGCAGCTAAAGCCGCTGCATTACTTGCTAATTGGCATTATCTTTGATTGAGCATTACTTTGTTTATGAATTATATTTATATTTGTCTCTGGAGTGTCATTAATTACCATATGAACTACATAAATCCAATATTAGTACTACATGTTGTACTCATAAGCTCATAATAAAGTGCAAACAATAATAATTTGGTAATAACCCAACAATTGATAATGTACAATACTTTATTGAAAGGAGAAGTGTTTGTTATTATTTAAACTAACTTGGTCTTCTATTTAAATAAGTTTAGAAGCGGTTAGAGAGTAAACTGTGAACATTGCTTATCGTGTATGTATGTATGTACTATGCATTGATCTGCAATGTTTCCTTCTGGTTGTTATAAACATCAACCCAAACTGTATATACCCAGTTGAGGGTGAAAAAAAAAAAATTATTCCAAACGACTTTAACCCTTACACGCCTGGTGGTTCCTCCAGAAATCAACCGCTACTTTTGTAAAATTTTCACGTCTGAACATGCATTTTTAAATATTACATCACGTCACATGTTGCTCTGATATATCCGTTATCTTTTCAGTCTCAGTCGCCACTTGTGTGTGAGCTTTGCAGTCATTTACATTTTGTCTTGAATAAGAGTGCATCGAAAAAATAATTTCAAAAAATGTTTGTATGTATTTTCAAGTGACTATTGTGAAAGTAATAATAATTAATTAATGTTGAAAATTTGTAACCTTCATCGTCATTACAATTTAATGTGATGTGAGTGTTGATAAAAATTTTACAAATTTCAATTTAAATTTGACGCAATAAAACTTAAATGGGCCTTTGTGGAACCATCAGGTGCTCAAGCATCCAAATCACGTATGCAAATTTATTGCATAAAATGTGGTATATCTCTTTGTTTATCGAAACAGCAAATTTATTTTCTAGACCCCATACAAACTAGTATACATACATATCTCTTATCAGTTTAATAATAAAATTAATGAAATTTCAATAAAATATGGATTTTTGGAAAAATTACATGTAGTTAAAATGAGCAGCACTCCTCAAAGGACCAACCGATAAAACACCCTGTAAAATCAAAAATAATGATTTTTTTAAGAAAAATCGTAGAACAAATGTTGTTTGTAACCGACAATTATAATGCAAATCAATATTTTGAATGAATCGGAGTTATCAGGCTTTTAAGGGTGAACCGTACATATGTAAATATATGGTTATAACTTTATTTGAACAGGTTTTTTGTGTTTTCTAAACTGTCTTTTTCAATTGGCGAGATAAATAGCTTTGACTTTCCGATCGACTTCAAATTTGGGATTACTTTTAGAACAGGGCTTTTTTCACAACTTTTTTATGACCAGTTTATTATGAAATTTTCGAATCCATATTTTCAAAATTCCCATTTTATTTGTTCGCAGGACGACAGTTGTTTAAGAAAATGCATACGCGACATGTGAAAACTTAAAAATTTTGAAAACATTTTCAGATTTTCTTATAAATAAGTATAGTTCCGCGAAAAGCGGCACAATATATAAAAATAAACGGCAACTCTGCAGACAAAAGCAAAATTATATGAATTGAAAACAACAAAATAAACAAAATTCAAAGCACGTGTGACTTTATCAGCCGGTAAATGGATTCCACAACAGAGGTGAGTATAAAGGTGTGAGACAAAGAGAGCGCGCTCAATTTACTCACTATGGTGAAAAAATAATAAATATTGTGTTCAGTTTTCTTTTTTTTTGTTCTTTGGCTAAGCGATTGATATATGTATGTATTTACATTATCGATACAAAACATTCAATGTTTATAGTTACGAAATAATTGATATTGACAGTGATAGTGAACCACTTATGACGAATATTGCACGCGTATAACATCAATTGGTTCCGTCTAATACTTTGAAGTGTGCAGAGCACTCAGTCGTTTGGTGTACTAGTAAGAGAATTAGCCCGGTGTTGTGTAGCATTTCTGTTTAGAAATGTTGATTAAAGATTGACTTTCGCGAATTCATTGTAAACAAGTGGAGATTCGCTAATAATACTAGCAACAGCTGCCGAAACTATCGTGTTACGTGAAATATCCATGAAGAAGTTATAAAATTGTTTAGTGACACGCTAGTTGTGTGTTTACGCCATTAGGGTTGCCAAGTGTCCAAAATTTTAGAAAATAATGGCAAACAGGCCCCGGGTGAAATATAGCCCCACAAGCACAAATGATGTGAGTTCAGTGAATACAAACATATAATGCGTTAACATTAAATAAGGATAAAAGTGTAACTAAATTGGAATTTGATGAGAGAAGCTTTTCAAAAAAGTTTATTTTAAGAAGATTTTATTAATCAAAAATATTTCGGAGTTTTATGTAAAATTTTGAGAGAAAGTTTGAGCATTTTAAGAAAAAGATACGTTATATATGTAGCTAAAATAGCACATACAAGATTTCCCAAGAGCTCCATTTCTTCTGATTTTGAAATTGCCAACTTAATTAGTTCGAGATATCTGAGGAAGCTATTAAGCGATAATTAAATCTGCTCTACTATACTATATGTTATAATTCTTCCAATGTACAGATTTCAAAGTTTTAGTTAAACACACCAACAACGTAATAATACCGAATCATGGCAACTCCGTCTAAATTTTGGTTGCGCATGGCTTGTAGAGCAACGCAAATGTGTGGAACATAAATAACAGCTGTTTCATGTTTACAAGAGAATAAATAATAGTATACTTTTAGGATGTACGTGTGCGAACTGAGCTATCCAACAGCCGTTGGGCTAAAATCAAAAAGAATTGCATGTCACCATGGTATAAAAAGGTGAGTTTGAGCCGTGGAATCAGTTTAACCCTTGGAACATGTATGTGAAATGCATTTTTTATATATTTGAATTATCCGTTTATTAGGTATCCGTGGAGCCCACAATGTTCCTGTACATGTTTGCCTTCATGATTACGTCCGTGGTGGAACAGGACTTTTTCGTACAGAAGGCGTGTCGCGTCAATAATAATTTTACCGATGAAATCTGTTCGAACATTCAGTCGGATGAGAACGCCATATATAAAAAGCAAGTGCAGGTAATTAATCAAGATTCAGTTAAAAATGAAAATGGCTTAAGGGATTATATACAGTTAGAAATCTTCAAAAAAAAAACAAAAATGTATTTTATTTTCCTATGCATATATATTTAAGAACAGACTCAGAAAATCTGTCCGGTGAATATTCGGCGTTTCAGAGTACTCTTTTTTAGAGAGGAGCTCCTGCAGATCAGCTGTAGCTGCTTTCCAAATAAATATTTTTGCTAATATAAAGTTAAAAGAAACCATAATATGTGCACACATTTTTGGATCAATAAATTTAAAACTTTTCTCAGAAAAATTTCTGGAAATTTCTGCTTTTCATCACCCTTTTAACTGCATCTAACCCCTCAAAAATGAACCAATAAATAAAAAGAAATATAAATATAATAAAATATTAAAAACAATGTCACAATTAATTAAAAATAAGTTAAACTAGAATAATACACAAACAATTTATTAAAAAATTAAACTTAATTCAAAAATTAAATTTAATTAAAATTGGGTTTTCGAAAGAAAATTAAATCTTATCATCATCAAAAATAAAATTAAAAATATAAAAATTTATATTTAATTTACTATAATGACGAAAAAAACATATTAAAAATATGAAAAATTAGTTAAATTATCGTTAAAATTCCAAATATATCTTCAATTACAGCTTCGGCTGTAAAAAAAAAAATTAACTTTAAAAATTTACAATCCAAATTTTTTTTTATAAAAATGGTATGTAACGTACGCCTATTTCCAGATAACAACGGCAAAATTCCATCAAATCGAGGCAATTTCAGCGCATGTGTTTCCTATTGTATTGGCGCTCTTCATCGGTTCCTTCTCCGATCGGCGCGGTCGCAAATTTCCGCTCCTCATGGGTCTCACCGGTAAACTCATCTACTCGGTTATGATCGTTGTGAACGCACGAATGAAGACTTGGCCATTGGAGTACGTCATTTACACAGCCACACTACCGTCGGCGCTAACGGGTGCGGACGTCGCCATATTCGCCTCATGCTTCGCCTACATCTCGGACATATCAACGCTGAAGAACCGTACACTTCGTGTAACCATACTGGATGTCTGCTATTTGACCGCTATGCCAACGGGTGTGGCTTTAGGTGAGATTTTAGTGAAATCAGTGTGTAGAGTTTAGAGCTTGTCTACACATATTAGGGAATTTTCAGGTTCGTACCTCTTCTACAATGCATTTAATAAGTCGTATGCGGACATGTTTACGGTGAATGCCGCATTATTGGCGCTTGCCATAATTTATACCGTATTTGCACTCAAGGTAAGTTGTTGTTCTTAGAGGGGTTGAGTGTGGATTGAATAATAGTGGAATAATTTTAGTGGCAAACTACCGCTAAACAACGTTCTCTGCACGAACTCGGCTGTTGCGGTTTCTTTCCGGATTTTTTCGATAAAGAACATGTCAAGGACTCTGTCACTGTTTTGATCAAAAAACGACCTGGTCATCGACGTCCCTTCCTCATCATCTTACTGATCGCCATGGCTTTGTATACATTCCAACGCGACGAGAACCAGTACTTATATCTGTACACGATTTTCAAATTTAAATGGAATGTCGATGTGTACAGCACATTCAAAACATTCAAGTCCACCGCCTACGTTGTTGCCATGTTGGTGGCGGTGCCGTTAATGAATAAAGGATTCTATTGGAAGGATACGGTGTGTGCGTCTGTGCTGATCAAATGGCTTGAGTTCTAAGTATTTTTCGTTTTTTGTTTTTTTTTTCTTGCAGACCATCATCTTCATCGGCGCTTGGGCGCACGCAATTGCTCGTCTCTTTTACTACTTCGCGCAGACTGGCACATTTTTCTATGTGGGCGCGCTAATTTGTAGTTTGGGACCCATAGTGGGTCCAATGATTCGTGCGATGACCTCGAAAATTGTGCCGCAATCCGAGCGAGGCAAGGTCTTCGCTCTGCTCGCTGTCTGCGATAATGCCGTACCCTTCATTAGCGGTGTTTTTTATTCACAGGTTTATCGCGCCACCTTAAATGACGATGGCAAGGGTGGTCAGGGTGTTTTCCTACTGACCATTGCCACACAGCTGGCCGTCTTCGTACTGATACTGTACGTGCATCTAATATTTTTTTCTTTTGATAACGATTTTCTCTTTTTTTCAATTCTTAGCACTATTCATATCATCCTTGGCGAACAATCTCTGGCCGTGCCGGAAATTAGCGAAAAAGAATCTCAACTCATACATGAGAATGCAGCTAACCCCGCGACTAAGAAATCTGCCAGTGCCATTGAGCCAGTTCAAGTGCCTGCTATAAGCGCAAATATTGCAGATAAGGATATTTCGACGAAAGCCGTGAGTGCGTAACCGAAACAAGTTTACATCTGACCGAGCGCTGCCACGTCAACAACTTCTTTTATGCTGTTATAACAGCACCAATAACAAAGGAGCGAAGTATCATAGAAGTTAAATTTATTGTACAATATAATATTAGTTATTCTAAGAATAAGACCTTATATATGAAAGACATTAATATTACTTTGTTTATTATATCTATAAAAAAATTTTTTTAGATAAAATAAATATAGGAATAATTTCGGAACGAATAACCGATGCATGAAGTAATTAATAATAATATCGGGAGGTATACTCACAACAGATATGGAGCGAAATTGCAATGCAGGGGTACAGACATCTCATGAAACATAATCACAGCACTAAAGCCATTAATGCCAATTGTATGAGCATTGGTGAATCCTTAGTTCCTATGATAGCGTGATTCCACGGCGGCAAATTCTGAAAGAAGCACTCTTGTTACAAAACTTTAAAAACCTTCAAAATTGGCTCCTTCTGGGTCGATGTGGCGCTGCCAGCGCGATTTTCAAGCATTGAAGGCGTCACGGAATCCGGCATTCTCCGGAATAGCCTTGAGAGCCGCGCCCCTTTCATCGGCTGTTGGGATGCCGACCTTGGTTAATTAACTGTTCACAAGAAAGGTGGTGTGAGCCGGGGCGTTGTCGTGGTGCAACTTCCAATCGGCAGTGATGTCTTGTCGTACCCGATCGACCCTTATTTTGAGTCTCTTGCGGACTTCTACGTAAAACTTGGCGTTGCCGGTTTGTCCACGAGGAACTAATTAATGGTGGATACCTTTGATGTCAAAAAAGACAATGAGCAACGTTTTCACTTTGGATTTGCTCATTCATCAGCGACCTCTTCCCGGCCCTCCAAAAAGGGGTTCTGCTATTGAAACACACCACTTCTTGCTACAGCAACATCTGGATAAGCCTGCTTAATCACATCAAACGCCTTTGTCACTCAGAACCACACATCGCGCGAAAATATTTGTCCTGACTCTCCAAGTGCTCGGAGACAACTGACCGAATCCGGTCGGTGCGCGCAAACTCCGAAGTACTTTCTGGACAAACCCTGTAGTCCTGAGTTTAGCCTTTACTTTTTGTTCTCACATCTTTATTCTCATAAAACAAACTTCACTCATTTTATTTGATCAACAAAGGTCATCAATCGGACAGAAGGTCTCAAGGATCGACGCCGACCTTTAGTCAACGATTAGATAGCGCTACCTGCAGAAACTAAAGAACACAATGTAGAGGCAAGAAGGCTATTGATGTGTTGTTGTTCCGCCGAGTTGACAGTCCTTGGTCAGATAAAAATCCAGGTCCGTTCCGGTTACGTAGACCCTACTATCGGGGGAACGGCTCTTGATGTGTCCTAAACCTCGGTTACACATATAAAGTCGAAAAGGGAATCGCCTATACATATTTATTCATTATTATACAGTCGAGTGCAAAAAAGATTGTTTCTTCTATTTGAACTCTCGATCCAACGAGATCTGGTCACACAGCGCAATGACTTTAAAATGAACGTCTTAATTTAGTTAAAAAATTTATTCAAATAAAATTACAATTTTTAAAAATGAAAACTACACAAACACAAATGGAATACACAGGCATCATTGGAGAGTGAGAGTGTCATTTATTTTTCGATAAAGTGCGCTGCTTCTCCGCATGCTCCACAACCTTGTCGTCCACATAGAGTCCTTTGCGTCGGCGCACGCTGTCCATGTATACTTTGGCCCGGTTCGCTGAGTCTGCCTTTTCGCCATAATGTGCAATCTCCTCCTCGGTGGTCGGTACCCAGAACGGATCAATGTTGATTACCTAAAACGAGAGTTGAATGTAAATTGAGCGTGTGTGTGTGGGCTCGGTATTAAACGTTTCTAAGCTGGAATGGGATTAAGTGAAAATCTGCAATAATTCTGGCATTGTGTGGCATGTGGCGCAAAGGTGATTGGCAATGGTAATGCTAATGCACTAGAATATTGGAAGCGATAAATGAATGAAAAAGGAAACTATGATGTTGCAAGAGTGCCAGTGCAAGTGCCGGCAGATGTAACGGTGGTTGATGTTGACCGCCTAGTGACATGTTGCACGTACAGCAAAACGTCATTTCCTTTGGCTGCAGCGAAGCTAATGCCTGTTTGTGTGTGTCTTTCACGCTGAAGTGGCACTTCTCGGCCACATTTTCATGTTCGAACTCTTCACGCTTCATTGAATTGCTTTGTCAAAGGCTCTTAGCGCTCAAGTGTCCTTTATGCATTTTGCCTGTGGGTGCTTAGGTGTACGCAATGCCGAAGAGTGTGAATTTGCGTGTCACTACACACACACACACACATATTTACACGCGAACACCTTCATTGCCGTCTGTAACGCTTTCAAGTGCTCGTCTTTCTATTTTCATTGAATTTACGTGATTTTCGTAAATTTCCAAGGATACTGCATCACCTTGCCCTGCGTCGTCGGCACCTTTCCAGCTGTGTGCGCCGTTCGCCGTTCGCCACGCTCGTTTGTTTTCGACACATTGCCATTGTCGTTCTTTATTACACTTCGCCGTCGCAGGCTGCTTGCGTGCCTGTGTGTGTGTGGCGTTAAGGTCCTTTGTGCGTTTCAAGTGTCCTGCGTGCGGAAATGCTTAGCAATGACGCCGAAACGAATTCAATTTCTTGCGATGTTTGCAAAATTGCATGCACGGGTGGGTGCGCCATGAATGGCGACTATGTGTTGGTTAGTCGACCATAGGCAGTCTCCAGAGTATACCTTCAATGGAGTGCGCTGCGTTGGTCGCGCGGTGAGCGAGCGAATTTTCAGATTGTTTTCGATAGGCCACGACAGGATAAACAGCTTATCTCGTATGAATGCGCACCGCAACGCTTTCTATGTGCGTGTGTTGCATGTTCGTCTAGGTGATAGCGCAAACATAAATTCGTCTATGAAAACGGGTGAGTTACCACTTTTAGGGGCCACCAACTTTGTTTCTTATTCTGTTTTTTTTTTTTTTTGCTGATTGGCATAAAGGTGTGATTTTCGATTGATTGATGAACTTATTGTGGCAGCAACAGCAATTCGCCGCAGGAGATCCATCATAAGAGAGCAAAATGGGCATTCAGAGAAAATGAATTGTCATTCACTTAGCAGACAAAAATGTAAATTTTCATAAATCAAAATGAAAAGATGCTAAAAACCGTATTGTCGCGTTTAAAAGATTTTACATTCACATGCAGCACCTGCACCTCTCAATGTTTTCAATGAAGAGCATGTGTATTGCTTCCCTTTTATTCTACTTGAACTTGTTAATACATTTTAAGGGTTTACTGTAAGCACCATTAAATTGAGATTTAGATTGGTTATTTTAGAGAAATAGTTTTTTGAGAAAATAGCTGAATATTTGAGAAGGCATGGTAAAACAGTTAAGCTCTTCGATGGAGAGTAATGGATCTTTCAGCAAGATACTGTGCCATCACACAAGGCAAAACCCTCTCAGTAGTGGCTTAAAAGCAGAAAAGGGGAAGTCTGGAAGTCCAGATTTGAATCCATTGGATTGCAGTTTGTGTAGTCTGTTGGAGAGCGTGGTCTGTCATATCTGCCAAAGATATTTGAAGAGTCTCAAAAGATCTTTCGTTCGAGCAGTGTTGTTAATACTGATAGAAATTGTGTGTGCAGCTAATGAACAATAGCCCACTTGTTTGAGAGCTTGTGTAAAAGCAAAAGGTGGTCATTTCGAGAAAAATTGTGTGCTTTGCTGACTTAATATATGCCCTATGAAACTTATAACGGTCCAAGCTTGTAACAGCTTGTAATCATAAGGGCAGGATTAAGTATGCGTTTTAAGCAAAATTGAACTTGAGTGGCAGGCTTCAACTTACTTAAGTTTTAAGTATTGAATAACTTCCAAGAACGGAATAAATCCTCAAATATTTATATATTCCAAAAAAAAAAAAATAAATATATATATATATATATATAAACTCAAGTATTTCAACTTAAAAGTATTTCAACGTAATAATAAGTATCAGAGCTTAACTAAAATTACGCCAACAAAGAAGAAGAAGAACTAAAATTACATAGAAATCCGCAAACCGAAACCCAAATATATCTACAAATGAATGTAAGATAAGCATTGGCTGACATCAACACCAGGTTATCCTAATCAGACACTTCACACACACACACAACTGTACACAGGCACTCACACATCCCCACCGACCTACCAGCGAGCAAAAGGTAAAAGAGCAACGAAGCAACAAAACGAAGACAACCTTTTGAGTTCAGGTGAAATAGAGTGAGGGATTTCAACTGCTGTGCAATTTCGTCGAAGTTCGAACACACCTTCGAGCGAGTAGGGATACCATACCATCCGCGTTGCCGTCATTGGGGCCACTTGGTTGCCTGCGGCATCCACCACCAGCTGGCATTCCATAGCGACTGATCATTATCTGCCAACACTTTTGCTTGTTTATCACACCACAAATCACTCAAAGGGAGTAGTACATACCATGCAAGCGACAACGAAAAAACTCGACAGCAACAACAAAGACAGCAATGAGATCAGCCAATTGAGGATGCATACGAGAAAATGATGAACCGTGACAGCGCATAATGACGAGCGTTGGAATAACACGTAATTCAACTAAAATTATGCACACACACATATATGTATATATGTACACATGCATGTGGACATATGTATGTGTGTGTTTGCTTGCCAAAAGGATAGTCCAAAGAGGAGAAATTGAAAGGAGCATGAGTCGGTGATCAAGTGGCTTGTAAATATTTATATGTAAATTTCGACAAGTCGTGATATATGATCAAATTTGACCCGGACTAGATAATGTACTATAAACTGCGCCCGCAAATCGAATTTGGAAACTAGAAATTCCTTTACAAGGAGCTAAGGTTCCTACAGATCAATAACCAATCGGAATCTTAGGGCGTATGTATGTATATTTGGTTTTTGGAATATTCGCTTTATATGGAAAAAGTCTTTTCGTATTTTGTCAACAGATGTCGTTGCAGTCGTAGATATGTATATCTCCACATTGTGTCATACCATTAATGCCTCGAAAGCTTATGCAGAGTGTTCAGTGGGATTGGAAAGGAATCATCCTCAATGAGCTGCTCCAGCCTGGTTGAACGATTGATTCAACATTTTTCTGCCAACAACTGAAGAGTTTAAAGCAAGCAATCGAAAAAATGGTCAGAACTGGTCAACAGAAAAGGTTTCTTCTTTCAACAGGATAACGGTAGACCACACACATCTTTGATGACTCGGCAAAAATTGAGAGAGCTTGGCTGGGAAGTTTTGATGCATCCACCATACAGTCTTGACCTTGCAACATCGGACTACCATTTGTTCCGGACAATGCAGAACTTTCTTAAAGGAGTAAAGTTGGTTTCAAGAGAATCCTGTGAAAATTACTTGTTGCCGTGAAACCAAAAAAGTTTTACCTTGATGCAATAATGTCTCTGGCGGAAAAACTGCAAAAATCGGTCGACGAAAATGGTATATATTTGGTTCATTAAAGTTCATTATAAATATAAAAAAGTAGGTTTGATTATTAATGGAGGGTGGAGTCATAAGTAGAAGTTCACGAAAGTAAGAAAAGTTCTTTGAAACGATTCTTTTACATATGACTCAAGCAGCTCACGACATCCGGTCTTTGACCAAGTATCCTCAGGGTAGCCTAAGAACATCCGTTTGAAGGCGAGATAAAGTGAGAAGGCGAAATATCCCCTACATAGAGTTGTGCGCTGGGTTTTTGACCCGCCACGGGGGTGTTTTCCCCAATGAAAAATTTTCAACAGTCTTGGATGAGAGACCCCCCTTTTTATGACGACCATGGCAAACGAATTAAGGAGTATGATTTGGGGGCATGCACCTGGAATGTCCGGTCCCTTAATTTTGAAGGTGCCGCTGCCCAGCTGGTTGATATCTTCGTGAAAATAAAGGCTGACATCACCGCCGTCCAAGAAATGCGATGGACGGGACAAGGACAGAGACGAGTAGGTCTTGTGGCATTTACTACAGTGGCCATATAAAGGAGCGCAAGTTTGGTGTGGTGGGAGAGAGACTCCGTTGCCGAGTACTATCATTCAATCCGGTGAATGAACGTCTAGCCACAATCCGTATCAAAGCGAGGTTCTTCAAGATATCGCTGATTTACGCCCACGCCCCAAAGGAAGAGGACGATAGGACCGAAGATGCCTTTAATGAGTACTTGAAACGCACTTATGAGAGGTGCCCCCGCCACGATGTCAAAATCGTGCTTGGCGACTTGGTACTAGATTCCAGCATAAGAAGATACATCAAGCTATCCGGCTGTCTCCGGATCGTAAAAAAATCAAACAGATCGATCACGTTGTGATAGACGGAAGACACGTCTCCAGTGTTTTAGATGTGAGTTCGCTCCGAGGTCCTAACATCGACTCTGACCACTATCTTGTTGCAGCTAAGATTCGCACCCGCCTCTGTGCAGCAAAAAAAGGCACGCCATCAAACACAAGGAAGGTTCGATGTCGAGAAGCTGCAATCACAACAGACAGTCGAACGATTTTCTACTCGGTTTGCACTCCTGCTCTCTGAGAGCACTCGTCAACAACTCGGTATAAGGTAACTGTGGGACGGCATTTCAAAATCCTTACGTACAGCTACAACCGAAACCATTGGTTTTCGGAAAGTGCAAAAGAGCAGCTGGTACGACGAGGAGTGCCGTGTCGCAGCAGAGAGAAAACAGGCTGCCTACCTCGCAACGTTACGATCGACCACAACACGTGCGGGATGGGATAGATACCAAGATTTGAGGAGGGAAGCGAGACGCATTTAC